TCTTCGGATCAGGTGTTCTAGGCCATCCCACGTCAGTGATGAAGGTGCTAAAGTGAACACAAGCCCCTCCAGGGGAGAGTGCAAGTGGGATGACGTTTGGTGATTGTTTCAGTTAGAATGCATTGGGCAGCAAGTTATGCCAATCGGACTCCCTGCGGCTTAAACCACGATGACAGTTACTATTTACTCAGCCAGAAGTCCATGGCTCGTCGCAGGCTTGCTCTGCAGCTCTGCGAGAGGATTCGGCTCTTCCTCCTTGTCTGCTTCGCCACCGTCTGTGTAAAGGCTTTTCTGCGCCGTGCTCCTCCGGGTCGCCAAACACCCATCACAGGCCCCTGCAAGAGGACCTCGTCCCTCCCAGGGGAAACTCAGCGCCAGGCGCCCCCCCCCATACACGCCCCTTCGAGTTCGTTGGCCGGCATTTGGTCACGTGCCGACACACGAGCCAATTGGGCAAAGGAGAAGAAGGAGCGCTGTGATTGGCTTAGACCAGTGGGCACATTGATCCCTGGGGGACAATTTCCAAGGGCCACGTGGATGCACAGCTGCTTTTACACAATTAATTGACAGATAGTCAACGTCATACTTACAGGTGCTTCCGATTGCCGGAGAAAGCATCTATGTTCTCAGTCCTCCTTCACCCACTTGCCAGTCACAGAGGCTTACTATGAACTCATCCCAGTTCCTGCCGTTGTGTCTTGCCCTGGGGTATAACCGGTAACTCCGCTCCCAAACCTCCTTGGATGAGTAAATGCCATTCTTTCACGTCTGGCTTAGACGTGTCTCCTAAGGGTGAAGTTTGGTCTGGGTGGAAATGCGCTGATTTTAGAATAACCAAAGAAGTGAAATTTACCAACACCGATTCACTTTTTACTTTTAGATATTTTTCCCAGTTCTTCTAAATGTCTCAAGATACTTTGAAGAACATCCACGAATACATTTTTAAATGCAATTTCTTTCAGATTTGGTCTCCTTAATCAATAAGATAGATACACATGTATGGTAGTCAGTTATGTCAGAGTGTATTCATTCCAATGAGAGCAGATCCTCATTTTATTTCATTTTAAAACCCTCAGTTTATTTTTTAAATGATTTTATTTATTTGAGAAAGAGTGAGCAAGTAAGGGAGAGAGAGAGCACGAGCAGGGGTAGGAGCAGAGGGAAAGGGACAAGCAAATTCCCCACTGAGCAGGGAATCCGAGTCGGGGCTCGATCCCAGGAGGCTGGGGTCATTTTGGGAGCCAAAGGTAGTCGCTTAACTGACTGAGCCAGCCAGGCGTCCCTAAAACCCTCAGTTTAAAAAAGATGTCCATTTAAGCCTATGATGAAACTTTCGAATGTCAATTTAAGTCAGGATACAATCCCTTGGCTTGGGCACAATCCTCTCAGGAGAGACTCCAAAGTTGGATTTTGTGGCATTCCTAGTAGGTGGGTAGCTCTGAGTCAGCGTGACTTCCCAGCTACATCTTAGCATCATGGCATTTGTTTCTATGTGTACAAAGAAATATCATGCTTTGGGAAGAGAGGAGAAAAATGAGATTCATATTGTCAAAATCATGTGGACTTTCAGATAACCCTGACTCGTACCCCAGCTATGGTGTCACTCCTTTTCCAGACCTTGAGTTTGGGCGTTTTTGGAAAACTCTTCGCTACTTCCAAATACTCATGCTTTTTCCTCTTGAAGCTGCTTTCAACATATTCCAGAGGACCCAATATGTTTTCATCATTTCCTATATTGGTTAATGGTCACTTTATAATAGCAAGAGCTCTGAAAGATGGAAAACCTAACTTAATGCACACCAGGGTGGGAGAAATAAAAAGGAATGTAGGTGAGCTTATACGTGAGGGAGCAACAGGGTGGATTCCAAAGAAATGACTGGGAGGGCAGCCCTCTGATGAAGTGTGAGTGCATCTGGCCTGGCAAATTTCTGTATTCTGTTAAAAGTTTTGAATAGGAGGGGGAGGCACAGATCAGGAGTGTGGTATATTAATAGTACCAATCTAGGGGCTCTCAGTGCCTCAGTCAGTTATATCTCCAACTCTTGATTTCAGCTCAGATCATGATCTCTGGGTCATGGAGCCTGCTTAAGATTCTCTCCCTCTGGGGCTCCTGGGTGGCTCAGTCAGTTGAGTGTCTGCCTACGGCTCAGGTCATGATCTCGGGGTCCTGGGATCAAGTCCCGAGTTGGGCTCTCTGCTCGGTGGACAGTCTGCTTCTCCCTCTCCCTCTGTGCTCTCTCCCTCTTGCTCTCACGCTCTCTCTCAAGTAAATAAATAAAATCTTAAAAAAAAAAGATTCTCTCCCTCTTCATCTGTGCCCCGCTCTCATGCACACACTCTTCCTCTCTCTCTGTCTCTGTCTCTCTCTCAAAAAAAAGTACCAATCTAGATCCTTAAATAAAAAATAAGCAACAGGTACAAAGGGAAAAGGGGAATTGCAGAGACACAAGGAAGGTTGCACATAGACAGCCAGTTTAAGGTTCTTGGTCAGGAAGGGCCCTTCCAGCAATGTTCCCATTTTATTTATTTATTTACTTATTTATTTTTAAGATTTACTTATTTGATAGAGAGAGAGAGAGAGAGAGAACACAAGCAGGGGGAGCGGCAGGCAGAGGGAGGAGAAGCCGACTTCCCACTGAGCAGGGAGCCCGATGTGGGGCTCGATCCCAGGACCCTGGGATCGTGACCTGAGCCGAAGGCAGAAGCTTCACCAACTGAGCCACCCAGGCGCCCCAGTGTTCCCATTTTAAATGGGAAGAACTTTCTTGAATTTCTTTCTCTTTCCCCTCTCTGATATTGTAAAGAAGGATATGGGGCAGCAAGATGAGGCCTGAAAAGGTATTTCCAAAGGTGTGTGTGTGGAAGTGTTGAAGGAGTGATGACCAAGTACCCATTATTTTGGCTATCGCTTACCTCTCCCTTGGGTTCCCCTACAGATGCTGTGCCTGGTTGGGTGGGCCAGGCTGAAGGGATTAAGAATGAATCAAGTGGCCATCAGGCGTATAAACCCAGTCCTCTGCCCGCTTCATGAGAATCAGCCAATCCCTTCGTCAAACTGATTTGCATGGCCCTGGAAGGTGAGGTCTATGCTTTATATAGCAGAACCCCTTTGCCTAGCCCACGGAGGCACACACTAGGCATTTCTGAATGAATGACTCTTTCTTGAGCTTCTACTATGGATCAGGCTTTGGGAACCCTGGTGAACCGGTGAAACAAGGATTTTGCTCCTGTGGAATTTGCATTCCAGTGTCAAAGGAAAAAAAACATGAATCCTTCAAAGATGAATCTCCTTTCAGGTCAAGATGAACTCATGCCTTCACAAAGGTGGTAACTCAAACACAGAGCCAGATGAGATGCTGGCCCTAGGACTTGGAGGTCAGGAAGGGAAGCCAGGTATTCTGGAAGTCATGTTTAAATAGCAAGCATCCTGTTTTAAATTAGAACCTATGTTTATTCGTGGTGATTGAGAGATGGAAGCTGTTTCTGATTTAGTGATGGGGTTGCTTCATAAAACTCCAACACTGCAAAAAAAAAAAAAAGAAAAATGTGCCTGGGAGAAGCTGACTGGGTTATTGTGAGAATAAGTTACAAGGAATATGAGAAGGTCCTTAGCACAGTGCCCCCCACGTACAGTAGGAGTGCAATAAATTAACCTTCAAAATATACCCCAAGTCTCATTTTTCTATTTCCACATCTGCCACCTGGTCCAGCCACCATCATCTCTCTCTCTCTTTTTAAAAGATTTTATTTATTTGACAGAGAGAAAGAGAGCACGAGTAGGGGGAGTGGGAGAGGGAGAAGCAGACTCCCTGCCAAGCAGGAAGCCCCATGTGGGACTCGATTCCAGGACCCTGAGACCATGACCCCAGCCGAAGGCAGACGCCCAACCAGCTGAGCCACCCAGGCGCCCCACCATCATCTCTTTCAACATCATCCTAACTGGTCTCCCTGCTTATATACCTGCTCCCTGAAATCTATTCTCAATTCAGCAGCCAGAGGAATTCCTATTACAGCTACAGTCAGAACATGACCCTATTGTGCTCAAAACCTTCAGCGGTCTCATCTTGCCCATCGTAAAAGCCGGTCTTCATGGTCTCAGGAGCCACTGGTGCGGCCACTCTTCCTTCATTGACTTTATCTTCTACCCCAGGTCTCTCAAGTCAAAGAAAAAGGCTGGACCCTTTACTAGTTCTCTAACCACACCCAACACTCCTGCTCAGGGCCTTAGCACCTGCTGTCATCTCTGCCTGGAAACTTTGCCCCAGATACTGCAGAGCTCATTACTCCTGTCACCTGCTTCAAGTTGATGGTAGACGTCACCTTTTCAATGGAATCTTCCCTGACGACTCTATTTAAATAGGAACATTCCTCCTTCCGTCTTTTCTATCCTTCCCTGCTTTCTTCCCATAGTACTTAATACTTTTTATTATATGAATAACAGTATACGTATTATCTATACGACACTCACTGGTAATACTACATATTTTACCGCACGCATTATACTGTGTGTGACGTATATACGACATCTTCTTCACCCCTTATCCCCTGTTGACACAGGGCAGGAACTTTGCTTCGTTCACTGCTGTATCCACAAAGCCCTGCACCTTGCCCGGTACCCAGCAGGCGCTCCGTCAATAATCCGCAGGAAGAACAAATCAATAGCGAATGAATGAGCACGGGAACGACCCAGCGTCTCCCCGCTTCCCGTGCTGCTTTAACCCCTTGACGCCCCAGGTGAGGATGGGGAGCTCGGGCGCAACGCGCCTGCGCAGCTCCGCCCACCGCCCGCGGGTTCGAGTCCCGGCCGCAGCAGGGCGCGGCGGCGAGCACTCCTTTGCGAGGCTCGGCGGCAAGCACTCCTTTGCGAGGCCCGGCGGCAAGCACTCCTTTGCGAGGCCCGGCACCGGCGGAGGGTTACACGCGGAGGGGCGGGGCCTGGGAGGGGCGGGGCCGGGCGGGGGCGGGGCCGGGCGGGGTTCCCGCAGACGGCGCCCGCGCCGGCGCTCAGTCGCGCTGCCTGCCACGGGTCCGCGCCGCTGGCCCGCCGCCCCGGGACCCTGCCGCCCCGCCGGCCGCCCCCCGCCCGGCCCCGGCCCCGGTCCCGGTCCCAGCGCAGCCCCCGCCGCCCCCCGCCGCAGCCATGTCCAAGCAGCCGCGGGCCGGCCGGGAGGAGATCCTGGAGTGCCAGGTGATGTGGGAGCCTGACAGCAAGAAGAACACGCAGATGGACCGCTTCCGGGCGGCGGTGGGCGCCGCCTGCGGCCTGGCGCTGGGTGAGTGCGGGCACGCGGCCCAGGGGCTCCGCGGCCACCACCGCTCCCCCCGCGCCCCGGGCCGTGGCCTCCAGAAGCCTGGCTCCCCCTCCTGGGGACCGGGGCGCCCCCTTCTCCGGGGCGTTGCTGTCAGGGCCCCTCCTGGTTGTTGGAATAATCCCCTGATTCTCAGTTTCCCCGTTCCGGGGCTTGGAGGAGCCCCTGGAAGTGGGGTCCCCCTCCCCAGGGAGTGGGGCACCCTCTGACGGTGGGGTTTTGCCCCCCTGTCTGTGCAGGACTCCTCCTGACTGTAGCATCTATGTCCCTGGGAGGGGTCTTCGGCCGCCCCCACTCGCCCCCACTCGTTCCCCGGCCTTGGAACCTCTGGGGACTGAGATCCCTTGCTAGTCTTCCTACTTGTGAGGTGAGGTGCTCCTGGGGTCTTGCACTCTGGCCTGGGGGGGCTTCCTCCCAGACATAGGGTCTTTCTGACTTGTAGCTCTTCTCCTATGTTTGTGGGGGTTCCTTGCCAGCCAGTAGTCCCTTGTGTTGTCCCCTCCTAGTCCCCTCATCCTGAGCTTACTAAAGGGCCGCCATGGAATTCAGGCACCTAGGAGAAAGACAGTCAGGTAGAGCCTTTGGGATCGGGGCGAGACTCCTTCCCCTCCTGTTTACACTCCCAGCCCGCTGCAGAACCTAGCCACGGGCCCTCCCTCCAGCCACCACCCTGGCTCTCAGAAACAGCCCGGCCTGGCTGCATGTGGGCTGGGCAGACGAGGCCCTTTTTCTGAGTGAGAAGCACCTGCACGTGCTTCCCTCCGGCTCTGGCTGGCTTGTCCGACTTCCTGCAGGACGTTCCCCACCTTCAGGGGTTTTCAGCTCCTCACGGCCACTTTCCTCCCCTTCGTGGCCCTCGGCTGGCTTCGGGGACTCCTGTGTTCCTGTGGGTGGCATCACCGTTCTCAGTCATCCTCACAGAAGTGGAGACTGGGTCGTCTGCCCTGCATAGGGGAGTCCTCAGCAACACTGCCTTCCTTTTTAATCCCCCCTTTTCGTGGGGGCCCTTGTTCCCTCTACCCCGAACACTGGCTAGTTTTCTGCTTCCTGCTTTTCCTTCCTCCTCCCTTCGGTACACCCTGCTTGCTTTGCTGGAGCACAGGTCTGACTTTGTCACTCCTTGGCTCAGAGGCTCACAATGGCCCCTTGTTGACGTGAAATTGCAGACAGTGCCACCTGGCAGCTTCCAAGCCCTCCACCGTAGGATGGGTGTCGTAGCTTCCACGGAGCCCCTTCCCTTGGCAAACCCAGCTCTCTCGCTCTCCCTCCCTCCTGCTCACTAGACAGGGAGCACCTTGGAGACAGATGTGGCTTATTACTCGGGGGCCCTCCAGGTAGTAGTGGGTAAATTAATGTGTGTCTGGTTGGGGGAGAACAGACCTGATTCCTTCTCCCCCAAGAAGAGCCAGGAGTGGAACATTCGTCTGTGTTACCTCCCCTCGATTCTGTCTCTTTCCCCTGCCAGCATTGTATAATATTCTTCTCCTGTGCTTAACTAGCCTTGGCACTTTAGGAAGTGAATGCACATGAGGTGTGAGGTGGGCGAGACACATCTGACCTGACTACCTGGATTTCGAACTGGCTCCACCACTTCTGTGTGATCAGGAGGAAGTCACCAGATCTTCTCCAGTCTCACTTTCACTGGCTGTAAAAATGGGCATGATGAGAGGACCTGTCAGTAGGTGGTGTGAGGGTGGCAGGAGGCCCTCAGGCCCAGCGGTCACCTGCACCTGGCTGGTCCGTGGGTTGCTGTGTAAACACTACTGAGCACTCCCTGTCGGCCTGCTCGGGGCTGGTGGGCTGGGGGTCCAGGCCCAGACTGGACCTGAAGACTTGGCTCAGGCGGCTCACACACTGGGAGACTGCATAGGGAAAGCAAGATTTCCAACTTACTTTGAAAACCCAAAGGTCTGTGATGCTGGGTCTGTGTCACCGTCTGGTGGCAGTAAGCTGGACTGAGCAGGGTTCTCCTCTTGGTCTGGGGGTGCTTTAGAGCTTGATGTTTGTCTCTCTTTTTTTTTTTTTGAAGATTTTATTTATTTATTTGACAGAGAGAGACACAGCGAGAGACGGAGCACAAGCAGGGGGAGTGGGAGAGGGAGAAGCAAGCTCCCCGCTGAGCAGGGAGCCCGATGCGGGGCTCGATCCCAGGACCCTGGGATCATGACCTGAGCCGAAGGTAGACGCTTAACAGCTGAGCCACCCAGGTGCCCCTTGGTGTTTGTCCTTTACTCCTCTTCCACTCCTGATGGTTGAGCCAGCCTGTGGCTTCCCTCCCTTCCCGAGGCTGGGCCCTGGAGGTTTGGGGCTTTAAGAGCCAACTCACATGCTGCCTTGTTTTTGGTCATTGTCTTTGAATGTTTTCTCCTTTTGTCTGCTCTCCAAATGCATGTAATTTGGACTTTCATTCTGCCTCGCCTTTCCATTAATTTGTGAGTATTCAGTCGCTTCAAGACTGCACCCTTGAACTTGTACCCCCCACCCCCCGGGGTCTTGTGTGTAGTTGGTATGCAGTCTTGAGCAATGCTGTTGCCCGCATGTATAGAGAGAGAGAGCAAGGTACAGACCTTCACGGGTCGCTTCAGTGGTGTTCTGGTCCCGAGGATGGACGGTTGGGGGGCATTCTCCCGCCTGGCCACCTGGCCATGAGCCCGAACCCCCAGACCGAGGTTGGCCGTTCAGGAGCTGCCCGACCTGGGTGGGCTTATTCTCTTTCCTGCTACCAGGGCCGTTGGTTGGTTTATTGTCACTGCTTCTAGCGGAGCTCACCTGAGGACTCCCCGCAAGCCCACGTCGGCCTGGGGGCCCTCAGGACGTGGACCCCCTATGGAGCAGCCCACAGCTGCAGCCCAGCATATGTGCCTGTGGTGGGAGGCCTCTTCCGCAAGACCCCAGGGCGCACGCTGCACGCACCAGCGCCCCCCTTGATTGGGGAGGGACACCCGCTTCGAAGTACCTGCTGGTTTGGTGGCCTGTGCCCAAGCTACAACTCAGTTCAGTGTTAGAGCAGCTGGGACAGCGTTTGCCCACAAATGGAAGGCTTGCTCCCTGTTCTCAAATAGCTCAAGTGCAGCTGGAGGAGAAAGCTCGTGCCGGCCAGCAGTGCGGCGAGCGAGTCGGGCCAGGCGCCAGCGCTCGGGCAGCCTGCTGTCGCCTCCCGGGCGCTCCAGGGCCTGCTGGCTCTGGCAGACAGGATCTTGAGCTGAGACTTGGAGGTGTAGGCTGGTCAAAAATCTCGTAGGTGGAGAGGAAGAAGGGGGTGAAGGGAAAGCAAGACTTGCACATTCAGATGCCTACGGGGACCCAGCAGGGGATGGGGATAATACCAGTCAACTTAGTGGGTGCTTTACACACGCATCCGCCGACTCCATCCTCCGTAACCCGGCCAGGTAGGTGCTTTCACCCCCAGGTGGGAAAATGGAAGCTCAGTCCTGGTTGGGATGTCGCAGCTGTGAGTAGCCCACCTGTAGTCTGTTCCCGGAATCGTTAGTCTGTGCCGCGGTGTGTGGCCTTGGGCATGTGGGTGAGGGTGGGGCGCGGCTGTCACCCAGCTCTGTAGCTGCTTGTCACTACATGGTGGGATGGTGCCTTAGTGATCCGGGAGAGCAAGGCGGGGGCTGCGCTGTTGGGAGCTGGCCACAGAAGTCACCCTTGGTCACTTCCATACTATCCTGTGGGTGACACCGATGAGTCCTGCTCAGTGTGGGGAGGGGACAGCACGGGGAGGTAAGGGTGGAGGTGAGAAACAGGAGCCGGCCACAGCTGTTCTCTTGTCTCAGGAGAAGGCAGCGACACTGAATTTCATTTGAAACCTGACTTTAGTATGTTGACAGCTAGTTCCGGTTCTTCACGAGCAGCGTGCAGACTGAACCACACAGGCCTGTGGCGGGTCATCCGGACTTTGGGGTGCTGCCTGTGAGTGGGGCCAGGAGTGTGTGAGCAGGAGCCGGAAGGGCGTGTCTGAAGAGGGGTCCCCGATGACTTGGCTGGGTCGTCGGTGGTGAAGTCTCTGCACCGAGTCCTTCCATTTCTCTGCTGTCCTCTATGGTCTTTGTGATGTTGGGTTGCTGTCGAGACCGCTCGGTCCCCAGATTGGCAGGCGGGTGGCATCTTCCTCCCTCGCGGATGCTGCTGGTGACTCACTCTTGATGGGCTTTTGCAGTCTTCAGTGGAGGTGCGGGTGTGGAGCCTCTGGTCCATCTATCGTGTGAGCCTGAGGGAGTTTTTGGTGCTGGAACTCTTTGCCCTTTGTGAGGATCAAGGTGATGAAAAACAAACAAAAGCCTGGGAGAGAATGGAGCGTGGGCCTGTTTGCCTAGTGTGGGCAGGGCGGAGGCTCCCTCTCCCGCCCCGCTTCTGGACCCAGAGTCCTGCTCATTAACACTTCCGCATACTTGCACAGCCTGTCTCCAGGCCCTCGCCCACCCCGTCCTGTCTGCTGGCCCGCTGTGGGTCGTGCTTCTGCAAGGTGACCAGCAGGGTTCTAGTGGCTGACACGCCAGGTACTTTCTCTCTGCCAAGCACTGTTCTTGGTGCTTCGTGTGTTTTGACTCTTCCAGTCCTGACAGTGACCCTGTGACAAGTACCATTCTCTTCTTTCATGGAGGAGAAACTGAGGTCCAGAGATGACTGATTACTCATTTGAGCTCACATGGAAAGTGGCAGGATCTGAACCTGGATTGTCGCGCTCCGGAGCCTGTGTCTTTAAGCAACACGCTCTCCTGCTCCTCGGGGTCATTGTTGTTACCCCACCTTGCAGATGACAATGCCCAGGCTCAGAGGTTGGAGCAGCTTGCCCACCATCATTGTGTAGTAAGTGGCGGAGCCGAGATTCTAATGCAGGGCGTCCAGCCCAGCCCTGGGGCGCAGTGTTACCTCTCCACGGTCATGGGCACATCCATGCCCTCCTCCAGTCAATTTCCAGGTGACACAGAGGGAAACTGAGTCCCCGAGGGGCAGACTGGCCTACCTGAGGTTCCCAAGCATGGTCTCTAGAGTCAGGGTTGGCCCCAACCTTCCAGATGCCCGGTCCCTGGTGTTTTTCCCTGCATGCTTGGTTGACCTGCTCTATGGCCCCTGGCTTGAGTAGGTGGGTGGGGCTGGAGGGCGGTTCTCCTGGGGCTTGGAGGAGGTGGCCTGAAGCCCCCGTTCCCTGATCACTGTGCAACCTCTGTCCTGCCTCTCCCCATTTCATCCTGGTGATCCTTCTCCATCCCTGCTGCAGACCCACTCACTCCGGCTCTCTTCAGCTGGGCTGTCCTGACCCTGCCCTTCCTGCCAGGGCCAGCCCCCTCCTCCTGCAGCATGCTCCTGCTCTCAGAGATCTCTCCCTTCCTCTGTGTACTCCCTCCCTGCCCCCCGGACTGGGAACAGGGAGGACCATTAAGTCTTTAGCTGACTGATGGCAGTGAGAGAATTCAGCCCAGCATCATGTTAGGCCATTTTTTTTCTGTTCCTGACACCCTGCTGGTCATCTTCCTGTTGTTACCACATCCTTAGAGCACCAGCATATGAATGGAGAGCCTACCGAAAATATGTGGCGATTAAAAAGGCCCAGTGAGGGGCAGGGACGTTCCCCAGGTCTCAGGATTGGAATCAGGTGGGAAGAAGAGCGAGTTTCCATTTGTGTAAAAACCCCATTTGTGTAAAAGCCGGAGAGAGGGATGTATTTACTCATGCATAAAATCTGGAAGGACACACAAATCTCTTTAATTGGTTACTTCTAGGTAAGAAAAGTTAGATGATTGTGGGGCAAGATGGAAGGGACTTTTCCTGAATGACCTTCTACACTTCTGTTATCTTGAATCTTATTGCTTATTCAAAAATCAAAATAAATACCTGTTCCTCCCTCCCCCAAACATTGTTACTGGCACAAGAAGTCATCAGTAAGCTCCTAGTTTTGCATTTCTGTGTTTTCAAATCTATTGGATATGGCTTTCCTGTTTGTATGGTATAATAATAGCAAGCTTAATGGAGTTCTGATTTGGTCCAAGGCCCTGTTCTGGCATCTGTCTCATGCATGTGCTTATGCTCATTTAAATCCTCCCAATAGCCCTGCCAAGAGGGGGTGCTACTAACCATCTCCATTTCACAGATGGGGAAGCCGAGACACAGTCTGCTCAAGTAACCTCCACAAGGTCGCACAGCTAGTAACTGGCCAGGCCAGGATTTGCAGCCAGGCCTTTGGCTCCAGAGTCCATGTTCTTAGGCATGCTGGTTAGGGTATGGAACCACTGCCCAGCAGTGGTGGGTTTGCTCTGGGGGGTAAGAATTGGGATACCCCACCTGCCCCAGACCATGTCTTGTCAGACACCTTCAAACCGCTCAGACATAACTGTAATTCCTTACGTGTGTCCATGTTCTTATTGGACTGCCGAGACTTTCTTTCTAAGATTGGTTTGAGCCATGTGCCATTTTATTTTGTTTTTAGAAAATTATGATGACTTATACCACTGGTCAGTTGAATCATATCCAGACTTCTGGGCGGAGTTCTGGAAATTCAGTGGAATTGTCTTCTCACGCATGTATGATGAGGTAAGTAGGGATTTTACTTGTGCTTTACCTTTTTATGGTTATGTTCCAAAATAAAGTGTTCGTTTTTGGGAATACTGAATCATATTTTCTTTTGATGCCTCGCATCAGTGGGAAAAAGTCATTGTTCTAGAGAGTTGGCAGAAAATTGTGTTGAGGTCACAGACTCCATGGAGACCAGGCAACCTCTGGACTCTGTGATGTGTGGATCTCGGGCCCTGTCCTGGGAACTTGGGCAATTCTACATGCAGGGCATAGTTGTTTTATTTTTATTTTATCTTAAAAAAATTTTTAATTGTGGTAAAAGACACATAACACAATTTACCATCTTTTTTTTGTTTTTTCACAATTTACCATCTTAACCGTTTTAAAGTGTCCAGTTCCATGGTGTTATTAAATACATTCACGTTATTGTTGTTTTTTAAACTGTCAGTAGTTTTTTTTTTTTAAGATTTTTTTTATTTATTTATTTGAGACAGAGAGAATGAGAGAGAGAGAGCACATGAGAGGGGGGAGGGTCAGAGGCAGAAGCAGGCTCCCTGCCGAGCAGGGAGCCCGATGCGGGACTCGATCCAGGGACTCCAGGATCATGACCTGAGCCGAAGGCAGTCGCTTAACCAACTGAGCCACCCAGGCGCCCTAAACTGTCAGTAGTTTTATTATTTTTTAAACCTGGAGTTCAGGGAATGTTCCGACTCCTCATGCTGTCAGTCAATCTGGGGAAAGTGGGTCTTGTTACTCAAAGTATAACTTAATTGTGTTTTTGTGTGACTGTGGGGTGAACTGTTCTGAGAGGCTCGCCTGTGTATATGCACTTGGGGAAGGATATCAAGGTTCCAGCCCGTGGAGGAAGGAGGCTAGGGGCCCGGCTCCGGCCCTGGGGGGTTGTGGTGGGAGGGGCGGGTGGGTCCTGGAGCTCCGTCTCGCAGATTTCAGCGTGTGTGGTCAGAGCCTGCGGCATTGGGCAGGGGCCACACCTGTCTTACTTACTTTCTGGAACCTGCACCTCTCATAGAGTAGGTGCTTCGTGCAGGTTTGCTGAAAGAGTTCATTTGTGGGGATGCTGTTTTCCTTTGGCATTCATTTCCTTTTTCTTTTCTTTTCTTTTTTTTTTTTTTTAAACCTCATAGGGGAATAATTAGCCATGAAACCGTATATATTTAAAGTGCCCAACATGATGATCTGATATACAGACACACTGTGGGATTAACACACCCATTGCCTCACTTTCCCTGTGGTGAGAACGCTGAAGATCTCCTCCCAGCAACTTGCACATGTGAGATCCTGTCTGATGAACTATAGCACACTGATCTCTTTTCAGTTCCAAGCCCGGAGGCCCATCCAGTGCTCAGTCTATGAAACGATCTAATGAGGCTTTGGGCCAGTGAGTTAGCGGGCTTCCCGGGAAGCAGAGTCACTTGTATTTATTCCTGGTGTAGATCTCATCTGGGTGCGTGTCTTGGTTTGCTGTCGTTCTCCGTAGGTTGTGGACACATCGAAAGGAATCGCAGATGTCCCTGAGTGGTTCAAAGGCAGTCGTCTAAACTACGCGGAAAACCTCCTGCGGCACAAAGAGAATGACCGAGTTGCCCTGTACGCTGCAAGTGAGTCCTCATGGCCCCGGGAGATTTCCCTCTCTCCGCGTCCTGCGCCAGGCTCACGAAGGGCCACGGGGCTGGAGAGGCTCTAAACATCCAGATTGCCATGTGTGTTTTCAAACACTGTTCTGGCACTTTTTTTATTGTAAAAAGTGCGTAACATTAAATGTACCGTCTGGACCATTTTTAAGCGTACAGTTCGGTAGCGTTAGGTGCCTTTCCGTTGCTGTGCATTAGCTCTGCAGAACGGTTCCATCCTCCTCCTGTTTCGGCATGGTGTCCTCAGAGTCCATCCATGTAGTCGTGTGTGATAGGATTTCCTGCCTTTTTGAGGCTGCATGATATTCCCTTGTTCGGATACCCCCCATCGTGTGTGTCTTTTCATCTGTCACGGGGCACCTGGGTCACGTTCACCTCCTGGCTGTTGTGAATAGGCTATGACAAACATGGGTGTGCACATAGCTCCTTGAGGTCCAGCTTTGGATCCTTTTGGATAGATACCCAGAGGTGGATCGTATGGCGAATCTATGTTTAATTTCCCGAGGACCCTCCTCCACACTGTTTTCTGTAACAGCTGCCCTTGGCACCTTTCCGACATCATTAAGACCTCTGTTGACTTTTTCTTATTGCTGGGAAAGGGAGGGGACATTCATGTGATCATGTTTTATGGGAGAAATTGAAACACCAAATATGAAGTAACCAGCTCAGAGTCACCTGGACAGTCAGTGAGGGAACTGCAGCTAGAATCTCTGCCCGTTGACTTCTCCTTTAAAAAAAAAGTTCAAAGAATTTTCTAATTTATGTATTAAGCAGGCTCCGGAAGAGTTGGCATAAAATATTTGAAATAAACGAGGAGTTTTCTTAGTAAGGAGACACTGTGGTTGGCCTCCTAATTAATTAGGTTTTTGGTAAGCCTGAAGTTTTGTAAAAAAGTAACATTGGATTTATATTGTATAGGTTAAGGTTTGAGGTGTTTCACGGTGGATTTTCCAGGTGACTATGTTTTTCTCCTTTGAGTAATAAAGCTTTACTTACTCATTTTAGACACAGCATGTGCTACTATGTTGTGAGGAAATGGGCATCCGCAGGGGAGACTGAACTTCACTGGACCTTTGGTGTTCATGACTCACGGCTTCCAGTTTTGGGATGGTGACAGAATCTAATGCTGTCGAGCTGTCCACGTGTGTGGGATGGTCTGCTCCCTCTTTTGCAAAGGGAGCCCAGGTAGCTGTGCCCCCTGCCGTCACCTGCCCAATTCTTGTCTCTTGCCACCTGCTCTAGTCCTTGCAACCCTCGTCTACGTGACAAGTTACTATTTGTGGTCAGAAGTGGTATTACAAGTCAGATAATTATGCTTGTCCAGGTAGTGCCTGAAATAGGGGTAGATGAGGTCTGGTAGCTGTGTGACCTTGGGTGAGCCCCTTAACCTCTCTGGGTCTGTTTCTACCTCTGTCTAATGGAGAGGAGGAGAGTACCTATTCAGGAATATTGTAGAGCTTAAATGAGCGAATATGTATACACGTGTATACAACAGTTTCCGCCACAGGGGAAATGTGCATAGCTCTCAGTTGAGATTATACCTCTGAAATCCCTGTGTGGCTTTTAAATCCTGGCTGTCCAGTTCCTGTCGTGGCTTCCTAGAGTGCATCTTGCAGGGATGGAGCCCAGGCTCACGTATATTTTTAAAACCCATGGTTGCTTCTGATGCACATTGTTGGTTAAGAACCACAGAGTCTTGTCTTTATGTAGTGTTTGGGCTGTTCGGTATTATTCTGCTCCCTTCCTTGGTTCTTAGCCTGGATGCAGTTTGGGCTGAGCACGTAAGTAAGTAGCCTTGGGGATGGGGACACTACACGAGTCCTGTGTCTCTCCCTTGCTCTTTAAGGAGGTATTTGCATATCCATCCGTCCATTCATTCACTCATTCTCAGATCTGTCTCAAATGTCTCCTCAGTGCAAAGTGTTGGGAACATGGTGTTGAACAGGACGGCTAACATTGTAGTGGGATGAACGATAAATAAGAAAAAACATACAGATGGTCCCCAACTTAGGACTGTTTGACTTTACGATTTTTTTTTTTTTAAGATTTTATTTATTCATTTGAGACAGAGATACAGACAGAGAGAGCATGAGCAGGGAGAGAGGCAGAGGGAGAGGGAGAAGCAGGCTCCTTGCTCAGCCAGGAGCCCGATATGGGGCTCGATCCCAGGACCCTGGGATCATGACCTGAGCCAAAGACAGACGCTTAACCATCTGAGCCACCCAGGAGCCCCTGCCTTTATGATGGTTTAACGCATTCAGTAGAAACCATACTTGGAATTTTGAATCTGGATCTTGTCACGGGCTCACGATCTGCAGTCCCATCCTGTCCCGTGATGCTGGGCAGCGGCCGCCGCTCCCCGTCAGCCACACGATCACGAGGGTCACAGACGCCACGTGCATCGTCTGTCACTGTCAGTGCTGTAGTCAGTGAATTAAATGAGACAGTCGACACTTCCTTATAAAACAGGCTTTGTGGTAGGTGATTTTGCCCAGCGAGAGGCTCACGTCGGTGCTCTGAGCACGTTGAAGGTGGGCCGGGCTGAGCTGCGGTGGCCGCTAGGAGAGGTGTGTGAAATGCAGGCACACTTTGAGCTGGAGCCAGTGGGCTAAGCCTTAGCTTTGTAAAATGAATGGAGGAGCACATTTGCCTGGGATTCCTTACGCCCTTGAAGTCTAATAGGAGTTGGCTTACAGGGTTTCAGTAGTGAGCCGGTGTGTGACGTGGGCATGCCCGCTACGTGACCCTGGTCACAGCAGCTCCCGGCAGGGAACCGGCTGGAGGTGCTCGGCGGCCGCCGCCTCCGGGAGGCATAGAGCGGCGGGAGCTGGGAGAGTGGGCCTCCTTCAAGTGGGATTTCAGCCACGAGAGTCATCCACGCCCTTACACGGTGCATGTCAGTGGTTCTTCGCGTCTTCACAGGGTTGTCAACCACCACCTCTGTCTAGTTCCTGCTGTCTCTGCCACCTCAAAGGGAAACCCCTCTGCAGACCCGGCACCCATCGGTGTCTGTCGTCTCCTTGGGTTTGCCCATGCTGGACGTTTCCTAGAGATGGAATCCCGTGGGGCGCTTGGTGTCTGGCCTCTTGCTTGGCCTCGTGCTTTCAAGGCCCCTCCACGCTGTGGCAACTGTCAGTGCTTCCTTCCTTTTATGTCCCAGTCACGTTCCGGTGTGTGGATCCAGCACGTTCTCTCTGCCCACGAGAGGCCCTTCAAGGGCTGTCCCGCCCCAGGCACTGGGGTCCCTTGGTGAGCACCGCTCCGCGCCTTTATGACCTGAGGGGCGGGAATGCTGGGTCTGTCTTTGATCGTTTTTCCTGCTCCCGTCAGATGTCTCTGCACTTTTACCTCAGGCACCGCACCAGGTCCCAGTTTCTTCCTCGGGAAAGTGGGAAAGGTCAGATGTGAATCTTCTGACAAATAAAACGAGACAAACCCGAAAATCGGTAATGCTAGTGGGAAAACAGACCAGTCTTGTGGGTGGCCGTACGCTCATGCTCTCGCTCTCCCCCTCACATGTATATTGGCTGCACCCAGACCCTCTTTTCCTAAGTCCAGCTGTGTCCTGAGCATGGGTTAGGGAGGGAAGGTGGTCATTTTGGGTGTGTGGTGGCTGTTTCACACTTGTCCCTGTGCACCCTCCCTGCCCAGCCCCGCCGTTCCTTCCCTTCAAGTAGGAGAACCCCTTCTTTTAATGAGCTCCCCTTGTATTTGCAGTGGAAATAAGTGCCCTCAAGCGAGGGATCAAATTTAGTTTACAAATAAGGTACCTTCTTCTTCTTTTTTTAATTTGATTTATTTATTTGATAGAGCGGGACCGAGAGAGAGTGCACAAGCAGGGGGAGCGGCAGGTGGAGGGAGAACCGGGGACCCGATGTGGGGCTCGATCCCAGGACCCTGGGATCATGACTTGAGCCGAAGGCAGACAGTTAACCGACTGAGCCACCCAGGTGCCCCACAAATAGGGTACCTTCTTAGCAGGGTCCTAGATCGGCTGGTTATTGGCTTGGGGACTTGAAGGTCACTCACTGTGTTTTGCTTTCTGTGTGTTTTCCTGATTCGTTCCCACTCTCCTAGCTGAGTGCAGGTGCTCGTGGAGTTCTGCTCTGTGCTCGCTCAGGCATTCTCGGCAGACCCCATCCCTCCTCCATATGATCCCCGGTGAGGCCACGAGGTGCCGCCAAAGGAAAGCGTTCACTGGTGCCTTCATGCTCCAGCGAGCAGAGCAGAAGCAGTATGCGTTAGCCCATCAGTGTGGGAGTTCCAAGAACAGCTGCCTGCATAGCACATTCTGTCTTTGACCAGTGGTTTCAGGTTGCTGGGTATTTTTACAGGATAGGAAATCACGTGGGGAGTGGAAATATGGGAGACGTAATTACGAGGCTACTCAGTAAGGAGAGAAAAGAACCAGGGGTAGGCATACATAACTTTAAGGAAATGGGAAAAACCAGATTTACACCAAAGAGAAATCAGGATGTTTGGAGAAGTGATGCTTCATGTTACAGAATCGAACAGCAGTTAGTAGTCAGGAATAAAATATTTGCATCAAAGACAACAGTCAGAGGAGTAATGTCTTTCCAGTAGAAAGTACGTTCAATAATTTTCCCACACCCATGCAACATTGAGTCTTGGTCGTATTCATTTTCTTTCTTTCTTTTCTTTTTTTTTTTTAAGATTTTATTTATTTTGGAGAGAGAGTATGCAAGCAGGGGGAGGGGGAAAGGGAGAGGGAGAGGCTTAAAATAGTAAACTCTTAGTGTCTCACAGTTTCTGCGGGTTGCATGTTCAGAAATGGCTTAGCTGGGCGGTTCTGGCTTGGGAGCCCCTCATGAAGTTGCAATGAGGATGTTGGCAGGGGCTGCATCATTTGAAGGATTGACCGAGGTGGGCAGTTCCACATCCAAAATGGTACACTCCCATGGAATCCTCAGTTTCTCACCACGTGGCAGCTAGATCCCCCAGAGTGAGCTAGGTGGAAGCTGCCGTGTCTTCTATGACCAAGCATCAGAAGTCACCTGTCTCCAGTGTCATGTTGGTTACCTGGCTTGGGCCCCATCAGTGTGTGCAGACCCACCTGAGAACATGAGCACCAAAGACGGGGTTCGCTGGGGTCGTTGTGGAGGCCAGCTGGCACACCGTCCTGTTCCCTTATTGCCATCTGGTAGGTGGAAATTCGTGTCTCGCTCTTGTCACGTATGTTTCTTCCGATAGGGGGGCTGATCGTTCTAATGTCTTGGGCTGATTTCCACATACACGCCCTTCCCTGGGAAGTTGAGTAAACCCAGGTCTGGGTGATGTTTCTGGGCATCCGTTTCCAACCTGCGTTTAAACCGTGTGAGTTTTCCTCCTTGTCTGTGACTGAGAACCTTTCTTTTAGGGATGTCTCTACCGCCGGTCCCTTTTCTCTTCCCAGGGGAAGGCAAAGAGGAAATTGTGAAGGTGACGTTTGAAGAGCTGCGGCAGCAAGTAGCTTTGTTTGCAGCCGCGATGAGGAAAATGGGCGTGAAACAAGGAGACCGGGTGGTCGGTAAGTGTTTTTGGTTCTGGTTGTGGCTTGCGGGGAGACTGAGGCAGAGTGACCGGCTTGGAAGGTCGAGGCCACTTTTGGACAAGATGGCAGATTACATGCAGCCTCGAAGGACTTCAGCGATCCGCGCTCGGTGGAGGCTAGATGCACAAGGAAGGTCATGGCGCAGGGAGAGGGCAGGGGAGTCCGGGCAGTAGGGACAGCCTGTCAAAGGCCCCGAGGCTCATGGGCGCGGGGCACCTGCAGGGGTGACAGGAGCGTGGTGGGCTGGGTGTGCCTTGCAGGCGGTGGGGTTGGCAGGGTTGACTATCCTTCCGGAAGGAACCAGGGTTGGAATCCTCAGACCTGAAAGGGAGGCCTGGCTCCTTCTCCCTCCCCGAGTCCCCGCCTTCCTTTGTTCTCTCCTAATCGGGTGGTGAGTCATGATTTCCCACCTAGAGCAATTCAGGTTCTTTTTTACAGTTTTCTTCTCACTTTGACTTTTGGAGAAGGTTTAAAGGCCTGTATGTGGACCTGGTCTCCACCACAAGGCACTGTAGTGAATTGAGATGTGGGTGGGTGTGTCCCCAGGGGCAAGCAGCGGGAGATAAGAAGACTTAACGTCCCTGCCCCTGCAGGCCGGGCGGGGTGCAGGCCGGTGGTGGTCGGGGTGCTAGCCCGCCTCCCCCGCCCCCATGGTGGTAGGACCAGGGCCACGGCGCAGGGGTGGCAGTGTGAGAAGCCGCTGCTGGGCCTCTCCCCGGGGAGCTCACAGCAAGTGGGCCTTCAGCGTGTGTTTGCAAGGAGGGTGGCCTTATCATGTGTAAACCGAGGGAAGGGCTGTACCCGTGTCTTGCTGATGGCAGCTGGGCCCCGAGTCCCTGCTCGCATGTTAGTTGACTAGCACCAGGTAGTAGGCGTGCACCAAGTTGCCTCCTGTCTTAGCCCTCGATGGGGCCTTCCCCTGGTTGCTCGCTGCAGGGAGGTTCCAGCGAGCCCACGGAAAACCCACCACCACTCTCTCCCCGCGTCCTGCTTTTGTTCTTTTCTTGTCCTTAGAGACCAACTGAAATCTTGGGATTATTTGTGTGCATGCTTGCGTCTGTCTGTCTGTCCTCCCATACTAGAGGACCAGGCTTGGTCTTCTGTTCACTGCCGTGTCTCCGTCCCCAGGGAGGCGGGCGCACGGTGGGTGTATGATGAACACGGAGTGAGCGAATGTGGGTGCGGGGCCTGTGGTCACAGCAGGCATTGCGTGGTCAAAGCCTCAATATCTGGGGTTCTTCTTCCAATTTAATCTACCCTTTCGAGGTCTAGAAAAGGATTTCAGAAGGTCCTTTTTCCAATTTTCACTTAAAAAAAGATCTCTCTTTGAAGCAAACGTTTTCTGAGAGAAGGAGAAATGGAGAACCGGGTGTGTCGGGGAACATGGCCGAGAGGCCTCCGGGGACACCCGACTCTGCAGAGTCAGGCTGGTACCCGGTGACCCGCCCCCTCGTGAGTGTCGCAGCGTGGACACTAACTTGACCTGTCCATAGTTCCAGGCCCCGGGGGCTGTGTTTCCCTAAGAGGGCGTGAGGGAGTGACTCCCTGGGAGAGGCTTGAGGGGCTCCTGAGACTGAGTTGGGGCTGCTCGTGAGGGGTTCTCTTGTCTGTGATGTGCTCATCTCTTGGCCCTCTGTCAGTCTCCACCAAGTCTGGCTGTGCAGCCTCCCGGGAGTGGGCCCTGTCCTGCCCTGGGGACATCACAGTTTACACAGCAAGCTCAGCAGGCCCCCGTGGGCCTGCCTGTGGCAGATGCTGGACGCAGCCCTGCCCTCGGGGATGCTCCTGGCCCAGCAGGGAGATACAGCGAAGCCAAGGGAACGGGAGTCCTGACTGCTATGGTCACGTAGGCCCCTGAGAACAGAGGGGAGGGAAGCAAGGGGGGAGCCGTGCTCAGGGCCCTGGGTGCCGTGACTGCGGGGCTTCTGTGGTCACTGGGGGGTCGTGATGGGGGGGCACTGGGCCATGGCCCCCCCGCTCCCTGATGACTTGTGCCTGCTCCTTTCCTCTGGAACATTTAGGATGATCTGTTTAATAGACCACAGTCTCTCTGGCCACAAAGATTCTCTGCCTCTGTTGTCATAAAAGCCCAGCCTCCTGCCAGATGGAGGGTCTACACTTCTTCTCCTCCCCTTACAGTCTCGTGACTGTCCTGCTTTCCCCTATTGCCTCTCCTTCCTTCACCATCTATCCACCTGTCTGTCTGTCTTTCCTTCTATCCATCCATCCATCCAGCTGCCAGCCAGCCAGCTCTCTAATATGAAGGCCTTGATATGCAGGGCATGGTAAAAGGCACTTGGTAAAGCAAAGAACAAGACAGGCAAAGTCCCTGCCCTCATGTGAGAACCAGATATAAAATTGCCAGTTATGACTATTAGATGTAGATGATTATTAAGGTTAATTTGGTGAGGGAGAAATAGAGTGTGCTTTGTGGGGACCAGCCAGGGAACCCGAGTTTATCGGGTGACCTTGGAGAAGGCGTCTCTGAGAAAGTCTCATTTGCATTAAGAGCTGAGTGATGTTTGCAGAGTCAGGAAGGCCGGTATGCATGAAAGAGTGGTTAGGCAGAGCAGACAGCCTGTGCAAAGGCCCCGGGGCAGAAGGAGCTTAGAACAACTGGAGAACTGAAAGAAGGTTGTCACTGAGCTCAGAGTGGGAGGTGGAGTGGAGGGAGAGGAGGCTGGGCCGGATCCTGCAAGGGCTGTGGGGATCACTCTGGTTAGGTTGGGTTGGAGGGGGTTACATGGATAGGCTGGCGGTAAGTGGTGGGGCCTTGTGAGTGCGAGATGTCCAGGCCCTGGGGTGAGGTGGGGCTGGCCATGCTCCTCGGACCGGCCAGAGGCAGCCCTTTTCCCCACTCCTGCCCTGGCTCTCAGAAGTACCTTTTGGAGGTCCACCGCGTCCAACATACCCTGAACCCAGGCCTTTCTCCCGGTGCCCAATTACAGGTTATTTACCCAACGGTGTGCACGCCGTGGAGGCCATGCTGGCTGCCGCGAGCATCGGCGCCATCTGGAGCTCCACATCCCCAGACTTCGGTGTGAATGTGAGTTGGGGTCCCCACCGAGTGCCCTGGGGGTGCGGCCACTGCGGCAGAAACCTTCCCGTGTGATTTCCGCAGGGGAGGGCTCTGTCCACCTGACGTCTTGGGTAGGGGCGCGGGTGGCCATGCCGCAGGACTGGCGGGGCTGGAAGGCGACAATGTCACCGTGGCCTCCCATCTCATGGCCGGTGACATTGGAATGATGGGAGAGAAGGAGCCAGAAGGGGCGGAGTCTTGTTTTTCAATCTAAAAACGAATGAGTCTTCCTTCTTTCTTATATTACTAACGTCCCGTCTGTGTGTACGGACTGCGTTAGCGTGTGTTCTGTGTGACAGATGGCTCTTGGAGATCTAGCTGGAGGAGCCTGGTCATCTGTCCGTGGATCCGTGACCATGGAAGATTTTCTGTAGACAGTCGTCTGGGTTTGCTCACCGAGGTTCCCCCGAGGCCTCCCTACCATTTTTGATCTCTTACTTTGGATCTGTGTTCTCTGTGGGGTAGGAGGGTGGGCCTCCTTCTCTCTGTGAACCCCGTAGGGACCCAGGACCTGGGGTGCATCCAGCCCCTGGGGTGACCCAGGCAGAGGCAGGCAGCTCATGCTCAACCCCACCGTGGAGGATGAAGCATCAGCAGAACAGGACTTACCCGGGGCCCCAGGGACCTTTCCTGGTTGCAGAGCCTTGGGGACGGGGGGCTCTCAGGAGCCACGAGGACAGACCCCAGTTAGAGGAGCTGGAGGGCATCCATGACCATCATCCACTCTTTCTGGCATCGGACTGCTCCGCTCTCGTCACGGCCTCTGCTCCGGGCACTGGACCACGTAGCTCAGTGGCTGAAGGTTGGCCTGGACTTGCCGATGATGCGCCCCTGGGCCAGCTGTTTATCCTCACATGCGAAACAGGGGCCGTGGGGAGAGAGAGGGTCGTGAAACGGGCGTAGGAGGCTCAGGCCCGGGATTGGCACACCTCGGCTGCAGGTTCGGCCACTGGCAATGTTGGAGCTCAGCACTCCACGGTCGGTGTGTGTCTTGGCTACAGGGTGGGTTTCTGGGTATGAGCTTGAAGCTCACGTCTGCCTTGGGGCTTGCTGTTCTGGTGAAGGCGGTCCAGGTACGTCACATTTCCCCCACGGCGTGTGAAGGAGGAACAGACGCGCTTCTCTGGCCCAGGGGCCTGGAGAAGTAAGTGAGCGGCTGAGGCTGGGGTGAGGACCTAGCTCTGCTGAGTGCAGGGAGGGGTGGCCACCCCAGACCTCACCGCTTGGCGTGGTTTTCCTCCTGGGGCTTACCAGTGCCTGAGCCTGCTCGCCCCGTTGAGGACCACCCTAGGTCAGCAAGGACTGACCTGAGACCAGAACTCTCCGTGTGGCCTCTCCAGTGCCCCAGGCCGTCCGCGAGCCTGTGTGAGCTGCTTGGGGCCAGCGGCATCCTCATGGGAGGGTCCCTGAAGGCCGGGGCCAGTCCCTGGGCACTGTTCCCTTGGATCCCGCCCTTGAGCTGGGTTGCTCAAGCAGGGCTGGGAAGGCAGTGCGGCGTGGTGGTTCCTGCCCGGGTTCGGGTCTGGCTTTGCTGCTTCTGGCCGAGTCCTCAGTACACACTGGGGAGCTGGTGAGGACTGCAGAATTATTGCTAGTGTGGGGTCGGGGGCAGCACCGGACGCCCCCACCCAGGTCGGTACGTGTTAGCCGTTATCCAGGAGCTGGGTGTTGTTGAGTGACATCGGGGATTTTGAGCCCATTGGGAAGATGTCAGGAGAGCTGTGTGTGGCCCAGGGGGGCAGGCGCGGCCTTCTGGGGCTGGAGCGAAGCCCCTGCCTGAAGACCTCCCTGAGAGCAGAGCTCCTGATGGTCCCGGTGGCACATCGTACCTCCGGGTGCGGGGCGGGGTGTGGGGGGCGCGGGACACAGGCAAGCGTCCAGCCACCTCCCGGCTGTTCTCTCCCGGATCATCATCCTCTCCAGGCTGCTCTGCTGGTGCCCGTGGGCGCTGGATGGCAGCCTGGCTTCGCTCTCTCCGCAGCCTTCAGCACGCCCTGGTCTGGGGAAGGCCAGAGTCTCGGGGGAGAGCGCTCCCTGCGGTCAGAAAACGACAGGCCAGCCGCCTTCCCACTCAGGTGCTTCCCTCCGCCCCGAGTTCCGGGAAGCTTTCCAGAAAGCTGTCATCTGCATCCTGCCTCCGGTGGGCGCAGCTGGGCGTGTGTGCGATCCGGGCTGCCGTGCGCCCCGCCTTCCACCTCTTCCGCTTGTCCTCATTCTCAGCTTGGAGCCCGACACAGTTGGGCGTGGGGGTGTCGCCAGGCGGGGAGAGTGCTGTTTTCTGGGTCCCCAACCTTCCAGCCTCCCCCAGACCTCCAGGTCCTGCGTTTTTTTTTTGGCATTTTGGTTTTTTTCTTTGTTTCACTGTTTTCATTTGAGTCCGGTGGCTCCTCCACAGATGTGCGGGGGGTCCAGCCCCTGACATCCACGCATCCGAGCGCCGCGCCTGCACCCTCACGGCGTTTCCAGGTCTCCGTGCGCACAGAACGGGGCAGCTGTCCCCGCCCGGCTGGCCGGATGCACCAGCCCGGGTGTGCTGTGTCTCTGCCCGATAAAGGCCGCTGCGGCGCGGGCGGCTCTCCTGGACCTGCTCGGAGCTTCACCTGTGCTTCCCCAGCCAGGTGGGCGTCCACCTGGGGCCTCCGAGTCCGTCCACAGCCCGGCCCAGACCTCTGATTCGGAAGCACTGTGGTCTTTGCCGTGTGCGGGCTGTGCCGCCCGAGCCCCAGGCCCCTGGCGGGCCGGGTCCTTTCATCCGAAGTTTGTTGCCACCTGGCGTGGGGAGAGCAGGAGAGGCGCTCGGTGTCACCACGACATCTCTGCTCCCTTCCAGGGCTCCCCCAGGCCCGCTCTGTGCAGCCCCTCCCGGATCCCGAGCCTTGCCCCTGGCGCCCTCTGCCTGCAGACAGCCTCGTTCCCTGGGTTGCTCCGGCCTGAGCTTCCCTCTTCCTCCTCCTGCTTCCGTCTGCCTGGGATCCAGCCCTGTTCTCTGCGGCTGCCCTTTGGTTTCCTGGCCCACGGGCGGGTCTTCCCTAGTGGAGGCGGCCCCACGGTTAAGAGCCCCGGGCTGCAGGCCCAGCTGTGTCACTGGCTAGTTGGGAAGGCTGGGCGACTGACTGGAGCTGGTGCTGCCTCCTCGAGGGGGTTGAGCCGCCCCGGGGGTGTGCAGGCCAAATGTGTGAGTGCCCGTAGCAAGTCGGAGTGGTGCCTGGCACACAGCACTCCGTACGTGGTAAGGGATTTTTAATGGCAAAAAGTTTCTTCCCAGATAAATCAGCAACTCTCAGCCCTTCTTAGAATCCTGAGCTTTAAGAAGACTATCTATTTTGCTATAAAAAGCAAAGTTTGTACATCACCACAGTGCCTTTTATCCACCTAATGGTTTTCCTGGTGAGCCTCAGGAATTTTCTGCGTAGCTCTTCCCCTTGCGCGCACGGACGAGTTGCCCAGGTCTTTACACCTCTCCCTCTGGTTCCCACCTCCCTGCGGTGTTGAAGACTGGGATTTTCTTGGGAAATCATGGCTTCACTGCTTGTGCTCTTGGAGTAACCCGGGTGTTGGTCGTGAACTGCTGGCCTTGGACCGATGCACAAGGGAACGGAAGGGCCGTTCTGGGTGGTGTTTTCCCAGGCACTGTGTTTGTGGATGAAGAGGGCTCTACCCTGGTCTGAACTTGGGGGAGACCTGGCTTTTCCCTGTCACCCCTGGGAGAACACTCAAGCTGTGGGGAGCGTGTCGTGAGGCTACACCTGTCAGTTCCAGAAACAAGGGGTTACCTGCATGGGAGGCATGCCTTCTTGCAGAGAGAGAGGTGTGCTTGGCAGGATGGCGGGTTCCACGTGTGGTATAAACAGACACGTGGCTGTGGTGAGCCTGCCTTTTGTATTTATTTATTTATGAAAAAGATTTATTTATTTATTTTAGAGAGAAAACGTGTATGGGTGTGAGCCGGAGGAGGTGCAGAGAGAGAGAGAGAGAGAGAGAATCCCAAGCAGACTCCTGGCTGAGCGTGGAGCCTGACATGGGGGTTGATCGATCCCATGACCCGTAAGATCATGACCTGAGCTGAAATCACAAGTCGGATGCTCAACCACCTGAGCCACGCAGGCGCCCTGAGTTTGCCTTTTAAATGGAGCTTATTTGTTAGTATACACGTTGATAGGGTTGTGCATTTCATTGGCAAAAAGTACCATTTGGAGGACTCACGTACCTCTTTAATCGAGAATTAGAAGAGAACCAGAATGTGGAAGTGCTTTGCAGTGCGAGTTGCCGTTTTGGAAGGTGAGTCCTGTACGCTAGGGGACCCGTGTTCGAGGCTCTTTCTGCAAAGTGGGGGATCTTTCTGGAAGTGCCGCTACTCGCCCCACGATTTCCCTGTCTTACAAACTTGCGCTTTGCTATTTCAGTGTATGTGCATATGTTCTTTTGGTATTTATGTTGAGGCTTTCCTTGAAGTGACGGTCACGTCTCGGGCGCAAGTTGTGGTTCGCTGGGCTTTCTTCGTTGGCCGCGGCTGACGGGGACACAGGGATGAGGCCATGCCCCAGTTCGAGCTGCTCCTCTCCCTGCTGAAGGTGTTTGCCTTTTGTGTGACTGATGGCGAGCACCCTTTCCTTCCACTTGCAGGGTGTTCTGGACCGCTTTTCTCAAATCCAGCCGAAGCTCATCTTCTCCGTGGAGGCCGTCCTGTATAATGGCAAAGAGTATAGCCACATGGACAAGCTGCAGCAGGTGGTGAAAGGTGTGTGGCTGTCCCGGGTCTGAGCCAGCAGGGCAGGGCGCGGTGCGCAGGAGCCCCCAGCGCCCCGTGTGCCCATCCCTTGGTTGCATTACCCTTTGTAAGAAATTGCACGACTAAATGTCTTGGCCTGCAAACCTGTGCTCCTCCGCTCCCTTCAGGACTTCCAGACTTGAAAAAGGTGGTGCTGATTCCTTACATTGCCTCGAAAGAGAAGATAGACATTTCCAAGATTCCAAATAGGTAAGCCAGCCACACGCTGATCGCTGGTTCTGGGCAGAACCCACAGGAAGTCCCAGTGGGTGGTCGACTCTGTGGATCCTCTCACTGGGGGCCGTAGCATCTTAGAGGTGCGGGAGGTTTTGGTTAAAAACCACAGTTTGTAGATGGGCACCCGAGGCCCCAGAGTGCATCCCTCGAGACCACACAGCCACTTAGCGGTGGAATGGAGAGAGCCCCAGGAGTGCTCTGTCTCTCTGCCTTTGAAGCATCAGGTCAAGCCCAGCTCCCTGATGAAGTGGAAATTACCACGTGCACGTGTGTGCGTGTGTGTGCATGTATGTGCGCATGTAAACACACACATGTATATATATTTCCCTTGTAGAACCTTTTCTTTGTCCTTATTGCTCATTGTATCTTCCTCTGTTTTTCTGACATCAAGTACCAAATAGTATTGTGAGCAGTTTGTTTTCGAATAGGAATTGCGGAAGTGGGTTATGGTTTGGTCACAGCTGAGTTTGTCTCCAAATTCTTGGAGTTCTGCTCTTTTCTCCTTCCTTGAAACCATTGTGGGGGAGGGTTCCAAGGTCAGGTGTGTTTGCTCCCTTTCGCTCTGTGGGGAGGACAGGAAGGAGTTTGCAGGGGTCCCTTCACTGGGGCGGACAACTGACACGTGGCTTGGTGTTTTGTGTAGGTTGCTTCTAGGGGTGCTGAGGAGTTTCAGTTGTGTGGGAGGGATGAGATGCACTTGCCGGGAGGGTGAGCCATGGCCACTGGGCCAGGCAGACACAGCTGGGCTCCTTGGGGCATGGGCTCCGATTCCAGAGGCCACAGGGTGCTGTCAGCACAGGAATTCTTCCCTGGGGGCTGTGGTCTCAAGCCAGGCTGTGCAGGTTCAGATGTCAGCTCTGTGACCCCGTGTGAGGGATTCACCTGTGTGTGCTTGGGGTTCCCTGTCTGTAAAATGGGGATGATCACAGCGCTTTCTTCCAGGTGGGCTATGAGCATTCTGTAAGTGAATGCTGGGCCAAGTGCACTTAGTGTAGCCCCCAGCAGTCCCGTCTGCCATGATGAGTGGGGGACAGCCGCAGGCTGCGGTGGGCTCTGTCCCACAGAGCATCTGGGTCAGGATATGCAGGCCTGGCGCTTGGGTCGTCCCTGAGACTGTGGGAGCCCTGCCAACCTTGATGAATGACAGCCAGATGACGAGCCCTGGTCCCAGTTCCCACTGCGCACACAGCTCCCCTGCCTTTCTCTTGGGGGCCGTAACGCACGGAGGCCGGGAGGAAGACCAGACGGGCTCGCTGGCCCCACAGTGGCCCGGCTTTTATCCTTCTGAATGTGCTCATCAGCAATTTATATGAACCGAGAGCATCCTGTGGAATCACGTTAGCCACTTCATTTAGCTTGATACAATGCAAAAAGCTGCCGCCATCCCAGTCTGGGAATTAGACCTCCTCTGCGCTTCGTCTTTGATTGCTGGATGCTATAGATAAACTAAGAACAAGAACGCGCCCAGGCTTGGAGACCTGGGGTGGGGGGTGGGGGTGCACCCTTTGGGATTTTCATTTTTAGAAGAGCAATGAAAGTAATTGCTATTTACTGTGATTTATAGACCGTTTGGAAGAAAAGGTTTTTCTCTGTGTGAAGTATCTGATTAGATTGGGCAGTTTGTGTAAATGGGAATCGAAGGGGAGGTGGAGGTGGAATGGGGCTTCCATTGGCTGGAAAGTTCCACAGTGAATGACTTTCCTGACCCTCTGGAGCAGAAGGCTTTGTTTGTTTACTGCTCAGAGTTGAATTGTTCTGGATGCATGCCCTTTTTAAACCTCTGCGCCTCCCCCATGAGACATCCTCGTCCTTAAGGATGCTTTCCCATGCAAGATAGCGCAGTTCTTCCCTTTTGTGTGTATGCACTTGTGTTTCAGAGTAATTATCCTCTCCCAAGATGGCTTTGTGGCTTCAGCTGCCCTATTTCTGCTCAGAAAACAAATCTGTTCGTGTTCCTCCTTTGCTGGTTTTTGGCCACATGCACTGACGCTTTATGTCAGTTTTGGGGGCAGATTTCTTAGGTGGTAGTCAGTGGCAGGACTTAATTTTGTTTCTGGACAGAAATTTGTACCTAGCTGTTGTCTTCCTCGTGGTAGCATGTGATGCATTTGCCTAGAAGTGTCTCTGTCATAGAAGCTAGTCTTCAGATCTCGGCCCCACCTTCTCGCTCCGACCTTCCTTGGAGAAGAAGCTCAGGAATCTGGTACCTCCCTTCCCTCCCTGCTCCTCACAGGGTGCAGCACTGCGTTCACAACCTCCTACCCCTGAGTTGCGTACAAACGGGATGTGTTAGTTGTAAGTGATCCTTCTGCACGGTGCTTGTTAAAGCATTCCAGAGATTCTCAGAAGAGACAGCCCTTGGCCCTGTCAGCATGCTAATAAAGCAACTCAGAATCTTCGGTCATTCAGTTCTTTTCCCTTCAATTAGCGTGAATTTGAATTCATAAATATTTGACTTTCCTGCTCCCTCACGGAAAGCTTCCAAACAAGGTTAGTGTTCCCTGGAAATCCTACAAGGTAGCAGTAGAAGGCAGCGAGAGGCCACGTCTAGCCCAGGAAGCCTCGGCAGATGCAGCCCAGCATTCTGGAATGTTCACTGTCTGTCTCTGTGTTTTGCCCCCAGCGTGTTTCTGGATGACTTTCTTGCAACCAGGAAAGGCGAGCAGGCCCCACAGCTGGAGTTCGAGCAGCTGTCCTTCAGCCATCCCCTCTTCATCATGTTTTCGTCAGGCACGACCGGGGCGCCCAAGTGCATGGTGCATTCCGCTGGGGTACGTCTCTTCAGCCTCTGTCTGCTCCCGTGGGGACTCCCAGCTGGTGAAAACAGCCATCTGAGTCTGCCCCCCAAACCCCCGCCCCAGCCAGACCGCACCCCCTCCCCAGAGACTCCGTCATGTAGCCTCTCTTCGGGGGGGTGGGGTGGGTAGCGTGGAGGCCTGAGACTGAGCGCGGGCACTCGGAGCTGCTGTTCCAGGAGCTGCGTCACCACTGCGATGGGTGCAGGGGCCCCGAAGTGCCTCCCAGGCAGGGCATGCCCTGGGTGAGCCCCCGACTCCCACAGTGCGGCCCGGACCCTGTAGGTGCCTGTGAAGGCGGTGGGTGGGCCCCGCCGGCATTGCACAAAGAAGAGAGGAGAGCCGGGAGAACAGCAACCGTGAGCACATGGAGGGTTCGGAGAGGTGCTGGTGTTGTGATGCGTCGTGTTAGAAGGGCGTGCGCGGAGGTGCTCGGACGGAGCTGCCTGGGGGCCGTGGCCGAACCCCGGGAAAGCTCACCAGGCTGCAGTCGTGGGCTCGCGCTGCCGTTGCCGAGCACCACGGGCTGGTGGCTTCACCGAGAGCCATGTGCTCTCACGGCTCCCGGGCTGGGATGGGGGTCGGGGGTTCCACTGGGGCCTCTCTCCTTGGCTTGCAGACGGCTGCCTTCTCCCTGTACCCTCACGCAGTCTTCCCTCAGCGCGCGTCCCTGGGCTCCCGCGTTTTGCCCAAATTCCCTCTTCTTGTGAGGACATCAGTCAGATTGGATTAGGACCCGCCCTCGTGGGCTCTCTGACCTCATCACCTCTTTAAACGTAGCCACATTCTGAGGCCCTGGGCCTCGGCCTCAGCATACGACTTCGGGGACCCCCAGTTCGGCCACGCACTCCTCGTTTCCCTGTATCTCATTACAAGTCCCGCTTCACTGGGGCACCTGAAACGATGCTTCGCTACTAAGCGTGAGGTCTTACCCGTGTCGATTAGTGGCGCTAACCTTTTATGCTTGAAGCGCCTGCGAGCCTGTGGGAAAGCTGCGGGACAGCCCGGTGGGCTTCGGCAGCCTTGGCGCTCTCAGCATCCGTTCCCGAGCTTTCCGAGAAGCCTCTTCTGCGCGGCCTCCGTCCCCGTGTGGACACACGCGCGCACACACACACACATTCTTTTGCTTCTCGCTGACCCCCCGAGAGTGGGTTGCAGGGTGCGGCCCTTCATCCTGAATACTTGAGCGCGCGTCTCCCGGGAACAAGCACGCTCCCTCACAGACCCCTCGTACGGTCGTCGAGTTCGGGAAGATGGGCGTCAACGTGATACCGTGACATGACATGTGGCCCCCGTCCGGGTGCTTCCGCTCCCCCCACGACCTCCCACGCAGCAGCCTGCTTCCCCCCCGCCCCGCCCGGGGTCCGTGCTCCAGAGCAGCTCCTCGGCCTGCCCCCCTCGGACGACAGTGGCATTTTGGGAGTGTGGCTGCCGGTCTTGCAGAATGGCTCCCTGACGCGTTGGATGCGTCCTGCTGCTTAGATCCGGGTGACACCTTCTGGAAGCAATAACGGGTTTTTCTCCGTATGTCTGGTCAGGAGGCAGCCGACGCCCTTTGCTTCGTACTTGTCATCTAACCAGGTCAATCTTCAGAGATACCATTCCTGGGTGCACTTGGTAGTTTTCTACGACCGTGACCCCTCCTGGCCTCCTCATGTCATCCTGGCCTTGATGGGAAAGCTGCCTTCTGACTCGGGCACAGTCCCCGCCTGGCGCTCCGACGTCTCCTGGGCCGGTCCCCTTGCTCCGTGGCCCCCGTGCCCGAGGCGCTCCTTCCGGGTGCCCTGGGCTTCTTGCCTGGCCAGCTCTGCAGCTCTCTCCAGACCCGCTTTCCCACTTCTCCCTCAGTTGGCTTAGCCTGGAGGGAGGAGAAAAACCCACAGGCTCTTGGTCAAACCTTGTCTGCCTTCTCTCCTCCCCCTGCTCAGAAGAAGGGGGTTGTCCGAGAGGAGAAAGCTCCTGTTCCCAAACAGCTTTCTAGCTATTGCTTCATAAGATGGTAGCATTTGAAAATCAAATATGGAATTTCTCTTATTCTAGTTCATTTAGCTTTTACAGATGTTTCCTATGCCTAGAAGCAGTCTGAATCCCTCCCATAAAAAGGGGACATTTACATTTGAATCATTTTAAAGCCTTATACAGCTTTTCACAGAGCGTTTCCATCAGAATGGGGAAAGGACTTAGCGGGGCTCCATTATTACCTGGATTTGGATTCCCCGAAGGTCTGATTGCAGGTTATATACACCAGGAGTCTGTGGGCGACTTCTCAGGAAGCCACAGGGCAGGAGGGAGGGGACGCTTTATTTCTGCAAGTAACACTGGCCAAACCGAGTTGCCTTTTTGTAGGAGTGAGTTGACCTTGTTCAAACCATCCTGTTTTATTAAATCACGTCAGGTGCGTTGAGAGTGTAAGACGTCATTTGCTATGGTTGCTGGAATCACATTTTCCCTGGAGAGGGGAGCTCTAGTCTGCCTGGTCACAGGCCCGTTAACAAGCTATAGAGAGGAGCGTTTTTAGAAACCTTGTAGACAGGGGTGGGGTATGTGTGGCAAAACAACAGACATTTTAGGAAAAAACTGAAATGTCTAACTGCACTTTTATTTTTAGTGCTTCTTGCATAGTGAATGTCACTTTTTTAGGCAAGGAACATAAAAATGTATTAGATATAATGTGGCTTGCTCATAAAATCATCATGCCTGGTATATTTAGAGTATGGACAAGTCAGGAAAAATCATACTTATTCTGTCTTCCCTGGGCTCTTGCATCTCTAGAGAAGTGACTAAGCATCTTGTCTGTTCTGTTCAAGAGTTCCCTCAACAGGAACCTTGGCCACAGCGAGGGATCGGAGGGCCGTCCCCCTGCTTTACTGGGGGTGCTGTTCCTGGTTTGCAGGCTTGTGTTTTCCGAGTTGACAAGAGATCTCAGAAAGCAGCTTCCCTCTTCTTTCTATGAAATTAAATTCCTCTTTTGCTTGAGATGCACAAAGTCATGTTGCTCATACTTCCTTCCCCTTAGACTCAGCCATAAATACTTAAAAATTAAGAGCAAAACTGCTGTGAATTAAGGTTCATTCAGAGAGATTCTTGGGAGAGAAGCAAAGCCAGGCTTGTTTTTGTGCCGCCTCCGAGGAGGGGGAGGAGGCACCAGCGAACAGATGTAGGGTTATGAATAGGCCCGGCTCAAAGCAGACCGCGCTGATGAAGAAACAGGTCTAAACTAAATGACGCTTTTAAGTAAGAACACGGGAGGGGGATTTGCCGTGGGCTCCTGTTGTTAGGGAGCCCCTGGCCCTGGCAGTGGATTTGGCATGTGAACGTTTCATGCTCGCTGAAAGAGTTCCTGAAGCGATTGTTGGCCCCAAGCGGGTTCCCCCACCCCCGCCCGGTTCCGAGGGAGAGTGCTGGGTCGTGCAACTTTGCACCGAAGCTTGCGACCCCCTCGGTGGGGGGCTGTTCCCGACCCCCATGATGCACGCTCCATAAAGCCACCAGAGACCTGGCGTCTGCAGGTGGTCTTGGGGACCCTCAGAAAGGTCCTGGCCCCCCCCCCCCGAAGCTTCTGTGCTGGGGTCTGCCCGGCCCCCGAGCGGCTCTGGTCCCTCCTGCTGCTCGTGGGTCTGGCGACGGCCTTTGTTCTGGACGTGCTCTGGAGTAGGAGACTTTGTTGGGTAGGGTTGTTTCCACTGAGCTTTGAAAGGATCCTCTCTGCCTGCGGGCTTGTTTTTATTTCTCCTGGGTACGAAGAGGATCGGTTGTAAAGGCTGCTTGTGATACATGGGTCCTCGCTTCAGACCCGATAGTCCCGAAACAACGGGGGCCCGTTGCCACCAGCCAGGTGCTCCCATCTGTGGAGCAGACTGAAGTATGGTGGCTGGCCTCTGCAGGGGCCCCCGAAGGGCAGTGCCCCATGTAGCCTCGGGATCATGTATGAGATCCACGCACAGATGGGTGCACCGAGGCCGAGGGACGCTAAGTGGCTGGCGCAGGGCCCCTTGCTCTGCCCTCCGCATGGTGCTCGGAGGTGGGGTGCTCCCCCTCTGCCCTGTGAGCCGCAGACAGACAGGACAAGTTCGGCAGGAGGGGTGTGGGCGGTGGGGTATTACAGAGCTGAAAATAAAACACGAGGGAGCTCTCGGGGCACGGATAAAGAGCTCCAAGGTACGTTACGTGGAAAGAGCAAAGTGCAGGGCAATGTGTGCAGATAAAAAAGTCAGTGTAAATGAATACACGTTGATGGGCCAGGAGTATACCTGGAAACACGCAGGACGTGATGCTCGGCTGCTGGAGAAGGGGGCGGGGGGGGCTTGTCGTGCTGTCCGCTCTGGAGCATCGGGCCATGCGTGGACACTTGCCGTTAAATGTTGAGGTCAAGAGAGAGTAGACGGTGCGTGGGGGCTGGGGTCTGAGTGGGTGTTTGGGCTGAAGGCACGGTGTCGTGTGCGAGGCTCGAAGTGCGCTGCGGAGGCGTGGCGGCTGCGTCCCCCGAGTGCTTCCGGGTCCGCGTGCTGTCGTGCTGTGCTCCCGTCCCTCTGCCCCTGGCCGTGCCTTTGCCTCCCCACGCCTCTGTGCCTGGGGCTGGGGTCCCACGGTGCTCCTGACCTGAGGCAGCTGAGCTCGCAGCTGCTCGGTGACTCTCGGGTCAGGTCGCAGGGTGCCGCGGGAGTCCCGCTCATCCAAGCGAGCGCGCTCAGAAGTCTGCTTCCTCCGGGAAAGGGAAGGCAGGCCGGCTTCTCCCCCGGGGCTTTGCGTCTGGGCCATGCGTGCTCACACTGCTGTCCCGCCTCTCCCCAGGGCACCCTCATCCAGCACCTGAAGGAGCACGTTCTTCACGGCAACATGGGCAGCGGAGACGTCCTGCTGTACTACACCACGGTAGGCGGGCTCCGAGGGCGCCAGGAACCAGGAACCGGGCTGTGTATCGGGGCGGGTGCCCTCCGGTCCGCTGCGCCCCTCCCGTCACTGGCTTTGGTCCCTTCAGGGCCAGTGTGATTGGTCACGGGTTTTGTGACGGGGGCATTCTCTTGCGTGAGCCGGGTGGGCCCACCGGGAGCACACGGGTCCTGGTACGAAGGCGGCGGGAGGGCCAGCGTCAGAGAGGAGCCGGGGCGAGGGAAGCAGAGTTCAGAGTGAGGTGGGGTCACGAGCCAGCGGGCGGGCGTGGCTTCTTGAAGCTGGAGAAGGCAAGGGAAGAGATTCCTCCCGAGAGCTTCCCGAAGGCGCACAGTCCTGCTGACACCTTCACTTTGGACTTCTGGCCTCCAGAACTCTCACATAATGCATTTGTGGTGTTTTAGGCCACTCAGTTTGTGGCAGTTTGTTGGGGTGGAAGTAGGAAAGGTATACAGGTGGTTCTCCCAAGTACTGTGACAGCAGGGGGTCCAGGTGTGGAGGCGGGTTGGGCCTGAGACTGTGCTGGGGACCGGAGCTGCTCCCCATTGCAGGACCAGCCCCGGAGGCCCCGTGTCCCTGCCGTGGGCGTGGGCCTGTGGCTCCGGCTGCCCCCACGCCAAGCCCATGCGTGCGCTGGCTGGTGCTGCCCTCACAGGAGGAGTTGTGGTGGTTGTGTTTTTAAAGACTTAGTTTATTTCTTTTAGAGAGAGAGCGCACGCAAGAGCATGTGAACAGGGGCAGGGTCAGAGGGAGAGGGACAGAGCCCGATGTGGGGCTCGATCCTGCAACCCTGAGATCAGGACCTGAGCTGAAATCAAGAGTCGGGTACTAAACCAGCTGAGCCACCCGGGGCCCCACTCACAGAAGGAGTTCTGTTCTGGCCCGAATCCTTGCCGGTGCACCCGGTGGCCGAGCCCGGGTACCCAGCTGGTCTGCCTGGCCACCTCGCTTCTCACTGGGCTGTTTCACTAGAATCCTGGAAAGGCTGCTGCATTCGCTGAGCAAGGACGGGGGCCCAGGGAAGGCAGATAGCACAGTGGAATACAATGTCCTCCGGGTCAGACGCCACGGGGACGTGGGACGGATGGGACCCTGCCTCCAGCACATTCTCCTGGCTTAGTGTGGGATATGCATCATTAGACCAGAGCCTGCTTCAAGCAGTTGGAGACACTCCTGTCCTTGTTGAACTCTGTAAGATGAACACTTAGGACGAGTTAAAGGAAGTAGTGTTTTATTCCAAAAGAGGAAAACTTGAAGTTGGCTTTTTCCAACTGCAAATATCAAAAGGTTTCAGAGTGATTTAGCTCCGTTTTCTGGATGACAATTCTGTGCTGAGTTTTTAAGGAAACCGAATGTGTTCCCAGCCCGTGAGGTTGATGGCCAGGGCCCTGGCTGTGTCCCTGGGGACAGAGCCCGGGATTCCACGCACTCACTCAGGGAGCACCCCGAATGTGTGGCCACGCGCAGGCTGCCTCGTCACTCGGCATGTCCAGCTGAAAATCAAGGGCTTGGGCCCAGTGATTGGGGTTCCCCTCTGCTGCAGGGATTTATCCCCGACCCTCCTCCCCCCTCCCCCCACACAGGTCAGTGGTGCTGGGCACTGCCAGGCTCTGGGCCCTTTTCACGCAGAAAGCCCAGCAGTGTGATGGAGCGTCTTTTGAGTTGCAGGGAGACCCTGGCAGGTGCAACGATGTTCAACTCAGCTGCCTCCCTGGGACTCACGGTTTAAGATGCCAGGGTTTTACATCGAGGGCAAGAACATAATGAGAAGAACGCAGATCTGGAGCGGTTTTCCCAAAGGCATTTCATTTTTCCTGAAGCATCCTGCTTGGGAGGGATGGGCAGGTGGCTTTTTCTGTGGAGCATGCTGGCGCCCCCATCCTTGGGTGACAGCAGCTGCAGGGGTCCCCGCGGCCCGAGCCAGGCCTGCGCCGTGTCCCTAACTGATGGACTTTAACCGCTTTCTCGGACAGTGAGTTGTCCGGGTCACTGTGTTGCTTGGGCTGCCCAGCGCTGGTTTCTTTTGTTAGGAATAATTCCTCTGAAAGAAACTCACCTAGGGATATTAAAACTTGAGATTTTTGGGTGACCCCAGCACTGGTGTCGCTGAGGGGAAGGACAGGTGGCTTTTCAGGGGCCCACTGGGTTCTTGAGCCCGTCACCCAGGCCGTCGGTGACTGCTTGCTGAGGCTCTGTGCTGGTTGTCTCTTACGTGCCCTCGTCTGGGGGTTCTTAGCCAGGCTGTACTGGTGGGCTGCTTGGGGTGCCTCGTGGGGTGCCCGGCCCCCCTGAGGGACCTGCACAAGGGCATGGGCAGGGCATCCTCCTGGCCCTCCGTGCCTCCCGGGAGGACATTCCTGCTGCCTGCTGGAGCTTTCCTCCAGCTCCCTGGCTCCTTGGTTCCCTTGCTGTGTTGGTTTAGCTCTGCAACCGCCCACAGTTGCCCCTGCATGGATGGGAACACCATTGCCAGTGGGTTTGTGAGCACCTTTTTGCCTTAAAATTTTTCCTAACAAAAAAAAAGGCCTTCTTTGCATACGAAAAACATTCACCCGCTGAGACATCAGGGTCCTCCTGGGCCGGGGGCAGCCGCGTTGGTCGTGCTCACACACGCGTGTGCGTGTTCCCGTGGCACATGTGGACGCCTGCCCGGGTCTCTGGGTTTGTGCACAGCCACGCTTTCCTGCGTGGGGACAGGGTTCTGCTGCACCCCATCTGCTGGCTTGTTTTACACGTAAGCTCAGAGACTGGTCCACGTCCGCACAGGCCTCGTTCCCGTGAACGGCGGCGGTGGGCTGACTCCTGAAGGCTTGCCACGTGCTGTTCTAAATGTCTGATGCGGCTTCACGGATTCGTGTGCGGTGTTCCACAGTAGATGTGCGTGGTGGACTTCTGTGTTGGTGGACGTCTCCTTGCTTTCCATCTCCCAGCAAGGCTGCAGTAAACCTCCTTTGGCCCATCTTAGCGTGCACGTGTGCATGGATCTGTACGGGAAACTTGGCGTGGAGTTGCTGGGGTGAAGCGTCGTGCATCGGAGATGGGCAGTTCTTGCCAACTGTTGGCTCAGTTTCAGGAGGTTTTCTAGGGACGTGAGAAGCTGAGTGACAGAGGCAGGGGCACTTGGCCCAGCGTTCTGTTGACACTGTGTTCCTTCTGTCTGTTCCAGGTCGGCTGGATGATGTGGAACTGGATGGTGTCCGCTCTTGCCACGGGGGCGGCCGTGGTCTTGTACGACGGCTCCCCCCTGGTGCCCACGCCCAGCGTGCTCTGGGACCTGATTGACAGGATAGGGTAGGTGCCCGAGACACATGCTCAGCCACAGAGCCGCCCTGCTGTCCACTGCGCTAGCACTGGAGTCTTCTTGGGAGCGCTTGGCCCCCCAGAAGGCGAGGGAGGGCAAGGGAGGTTGAAGTTGCCGAGGAGGGCGGGAAGGGGCAGGCAGTCCTGACAGGGACTGACCAAGGAGAAGGGGGCCACCCCCAGGGGCCAGGAGTGAGTCTGGAACATCAGGGTACAGGAGAGGGAATGGGATCTTGGGTCTCTAACTCTGGAGCCTTAGAACTGCTGGAAAAGCCCAGGAGAAAGGGAGACAGGGCCAGCGAGGGTTCTGTCTCATGCAGGGCTCCTCCAGCTCCAGGGTGGACTGGGGTGTAAAACAGGCTGCCTGGGGGACAGTGTGGATACGTCCGTGGAGGGCAGGTGCAGAGCCCAGCACTGGGGCATTCACAGGGTCTGGGCGTCCCACCGCCAGCCTTCTGAGCCTCATGGTGAGAGGACAGTCCTGCTTTTGTCAGCTGTCCCTGGAGTGTCCTTGGACCATCACAAGGTTGCTCCAGAATGCTCCTGTAGATGCTGCATGGGGGTGTCTGCCTCCATGCCGTCCTGCTAATGGCTCGCTTCTTGGGTGGGACGAGCTGGGATCCCGAGGAGCAGAGGCCGAGTGTGGGGAAGGATGCTGGGCCCTCCCTCTCCCAGTTCCCCTCCTCATGGTCACTGGTGGAAAGTGTCAGGAGACCGTTCTGTGAGTGCTTTCTTTGCTGATGAATTAATCATAACCGGTGGAAGCGTCCTCCCCCTTGCGGCCCGTGCTCACTGTCGGCTTAATGATCGCGGTTCCGGGGGTGAGAATATAGAAGCAGCAGAGCTCCGGGGGCCTCTGACACGTGCTCATTACTCTAAGTTTGAGTCTGTTCATGGTGGGGAAGCAGAGGAACCAGTAATGTTTATAAATCCTTGGCCATTAATATTTCAAATATAACTTTGCCTGGCCTGGGTAATATTTAAATCCTGACATTTGGCTCACAATATTGGCGAGGAAGGTTATTTCCTAATGAGACTGTTTGCAGCGAAAGGTTAATTGAATCCCTGGGAACGGAGATGACTTTAAGAGCTTTACCCTTAATACCTGTGAGCTAGGCTCCAGGTGGGGACACTTTCTGGTGTGTGTGTGCACGCATGTGTGTGTAACAGGAAGACAGAAAATACGCATTATTGGGGCTCAGTGCTAACGAATTTGAAGGATTAAGGGCCCCAGGAAAGCCAGCTCAGTGTGTGTGTGAGTGTGTGTGAACGAGTGTGTGCGTGCACGCATGTCTGAGCATCCATGGGTATGTGGTCTGGGCCGACGTGGTAGGCACATCCTGAGCATCTGCCTTCCATCAGCCCCGGACGCTGCTGGAGACATGGTCTTGGCCCTCCACAGGGCCCCTCTGGGCCGGCCGCGAGCTTCCCTGCCCGGGTCATGGAGGCTGGCGCAGCTCTGCGGCCAGGCAGGAGCTGGGGGGGGGGGTGCTTGGGAGGACTGCAGGCCTCAAACACCTGCTCCAGCTGCCAACGGCCATTGAAGGAGGGGGTGCAGGTCAGGTGTGGCGGGAGACCTGCATCTGACCTTTACCTGTGCCCGCCTGCTGAAAATGAAAACTGGTCACATAAAATCCTACCTGTGTGTGGCGAGAGGAGCGGCTGTCCCGAGCCGGCCGACAGCAGGGTCCTTGCAGGCCGTTTCAGGGTCTCTGGGTTTTTAAATAACGTTGACTAATGTAGGAAGGAAATCTTTGCCGAAAGACGTGTCGGCTCAGAGACTTACGAACATGTCTGATAACAGAGCATTTATTTTGTAGACACAAACAAGGTTCTTCTAAAAGATGAATTTTCTTTGTCATTGGGGTGTATTTCTGGGCTCTGGGAGTCTGGTTCGAGGAATATTTGGGTTAGAGTTGGGGCCAGAACTCTGGGGTCTTTTGTCCAGGCTTTGTGTGTACCTGGGCCAGCATCAAAGCCACCTGAATTCCCACGTGTCGCCCGTCCCTGGGTAGAAGAGGCCTAGGTGGCGCGTGGTGGGGCCTGACGGACTCATCTGGCAGAGTGGGCTTGCTGGACAGCCGTCTGCAGGGTCATGTCCGCATCCTGCACATCTCTGGGTGTTTGCTCTGCACCAGGTGCCCTGCTGGGCCCTGGGGTATGCACAGCAGTGGTGGAGGCAAGTGGGTCCCTGTCCTCGTGGGGCTGCACCCAAATGGGGGAAGGAGAGAGAAAAAGTGCTGTTGGTGCCCTGAGGTCAGGGATGCTCCCCGGAGGCAAGGCCGCCTTGCCGCCGGGGTCTGAACCTCAGGCCTGGGGAGGGGACGCGAAACATGTTCCAGGCAGAGTGCCCGGCCCTAAGGTGGGACTGGGATAGGTGTGTGCGGGGAGACCCTGTGCTGTGAATGTGAAGGGTGGATGTGGGGCCGCCTAGGGGATGGGGGCAGGAGGCTGGTCCCTCCGGGACTCTCAGGCAGGTGTGCACGGTGGGTGCTTTTCTGCATGAAACGCGACACCACTGGAACGTTTGAAGAAACACAACCCGGTGTTTTTAAAGGCTAAGCGTTGCTCCTGAGTGGAGAATGAATGGGGGGGGGGGGGGGGCGGGGCAAGGGCAGGCGCAGGGAAACTGATGGGTCTTTGGCGGATGGAGTCCCCCAGGCACAGGGTGGGTGGCCTCGGAAGCGCTGTCTGTGAGCTGCCCTCGGGGCGCTGGGGCCAACACCTGTCCAGCCGGGAAGCTGCCTCATGCTTTGTGCAGGGACCCAGCAGTATTCCCTAACAATATGCAGTGCTGAGCACCCACACAAAGCTCCCATGCTTCGTGAGCTGAGTGTGTTTTTACACATCTCCTGCAAGCCCTGGAGATGGATGGGAAGACCTTCCCGTTCTTCAGACAAGCAGGCCTGTGACCCCGGCCCAGCACCTGCTCAGGGTCTCTGTGCATTGCCAAGGTCAGGGTTCACAGGGATATGGAAAGAACCACAGAGAGCCATTGATTTTGGGGATGCGCAGAACAAGGAATGTTGTTTTGGTGTGGTTGGTGGTTGGAGATCTTGGTGCCGGTGGCTGGGGGCGGTCACTGCTCCACCACCAGAGGCTGAAAGCATGCCTTATCTTCTGTGAAAATGTAGCTATTCCTGAAAGGGTGACACCTTAGTCCTTGGAGGTGACCTTGAATTTGTGAACCAGACGGGCTGAGTTAATGCAGTAAACACGGGGGACGTGGGAGGTGCCTGAGGTCTCAGTGGGGAGCTTACTGGTGGCAGGGTGGTGGTAGTGAAGCGAAGAGGGGGGCCGGGAGAGGCTAGCAGCCTCGAGGGGCCCTGCCCGCCCAGCCGCCCCAGTGTCAGATGGCACGTGGCTGTCTCCCTAGAGGGAGACACCACCCAGGGGCTAGGGGATGAGGTTTTTGCTGCCCAGGGGGATGCAGAGGGACCTGGATTTTGCAGCCTCCTTTGGGCCCGAAAGAGAAGGCATTATTTTGTTAGGAAGATGGTCTGCAGGTCAAGGGCTGCCTGGCTGCAAGAACAGCTGGGAGGTAAATGGAACGATAAATCGCGCTCTCCCCCAGAAATACAGTGATTTACGCTCCGCATGGTGTCGTTCTCCGAGTGCGGACGTGGGGGAAAGGACCGTAGACTCTAAACGTTTGAAACGAGAAGAGCTGCGATTTTGTAAGTCATTTAAGAATGGGGGTGGGTCCTGAATGCCCAGGATGGGCCCTGCTCCCACAGAGGGTCCTGCCGCCCTCTCCACCTCGGTGGAAGGGGCTCGCGTGAGGCTGGAACTTGAGGGGTCTCGGTTTTCTGGCCTCCTTTGGCAAAAGGGCAAAAAGGGCAAATACCCTACAGTTGGGAAGATTGTGGGCTGATGTGCGAGTCATTGTCTCTCACACGGAGCCACGTGTTCAGGGGGGCCAGGGCTCCGTGCGTGTTGGAGTTGGGGTGCAGACCTGTCCCTGCTGAACCCCGCAGTCCACACAGGTGTTTGCTGAACACTGGGTATTAATTCAGCCCAGAAAAATGATGTGTCTGGGATTTTGCAAACTTGCCAGAAACGAGTCACTAATTTTAGAAAGCTCTGGAGCGTGGAATGTGCAGGAGCCTTGAGAGTTTCTGTTTTCTTTCCCTCCTGTGCCCTTAGCATCACCATCCTTGGAACAGGTGCCAAGTGGCTGGCCGTCCTTGAAGAGAAAAACATGAAGCCAGGTCAGTACGCCCCTCAGGACGCTTGGCCTACGCCCCGTCTTGCCAGCCAAGGAATCCAGAGGCGCTCTCTTACCTGGTCTCCTGCATGCAAGCCAGAACAGAGGTGTCGGATTTAGTTTTAATCTTTCTGTGATTCTTCGCCCTAGTGGAAACCCACAGTCTCCAGACACTTCATACGATCCTGTCCACCGGCTCCCCTCTGAAAGTCCAAAGCTATGACTACGTCTACAGGTGCATCAAGAGCAGTGTCCTCCTGGGCTCCATCTCAGGTAGGGCTTGCACCGTGGAGAGGGGGTCCGGGAGGAAGCAGGGGAAGTGGGGCACGGCCAGGCTGGCCCCCCCGAAGTGTGCACAGCCTCTGACCCGCCAGGTCCACTGTCTTGAATTCGTCCCAGGTAAACATCAGGACGCACATCTCTGCACGGTTGGCTCTTCTCGTTCATGATAGTTAAGTTCTAGAAAGTCGCTGAGTTAGTGACCGCTGAACCATCGCTCCTGGGGGAGGTACACACACACACACACAAACACACACGTATCTCATCTTACATTCTGGAAACAACCTCATATTATAATCTTATATTCTGAAAACAACCTTTTCTGGTAGATTCTGTTCTCTTCACCTTACAGAAGAGAAAACAAGGTTCAGAAGTGTTAACTGACTTGCTGGAGCAGACCCCCCAACAGGGTGCAGTGCGGCCGGCCCCCGGGCCAGAGCTTCTTGCGCCCCCTGCCCCTCCCCTCGCTGTCCCCCGGTCTTCTCTCAGCGAGAGCTGAAACCAGAGCACGGCACTGTCTTGTTGCCCCGCAGCTGGGGACGTGCGTGGGGGGCATCTCGAGATTTCCACCACTCGGCTCATGCTCTCAGATGACCTTGAAAGCACCCCGAGTGTTGATCCTGAGGTCATACATTTTAGCGAGTAGGAGAATTTGCAAATACAGAATCTGTAAATAATAAGGATTGGCCAGGGATGAGAACAATTGTTGCAAAATCGTTTACGTTCGTTAAAAGCTGGAAATTACCTATATGCCTGGTAGAAGGGGATTCATTGACTAATTTTTGGTTCATCCTTAATTTTTGCGGCTGTTAGGAGGGATACGATGAAAATTCTTATTTAGATGGAAACATATTTATTGATACCGAAAGAGAGTTGTGATACGTTGAGTGAGAGAAGCAGATTGCAGACTACAAGTGTGGTCATTTTTGTAGATCGAGAAAAGGAATATGTGGGGGGGGGGTATACACCCGTGTGTGTGTATATGGGCATTGGGATTTCAAGTGACGTTTTTTTTCTCTTCACTTTTTTCCCCAACATGAAGTTGTATGAAGACAATTTGTGCATGTTGCAAATATTCAGAATCCAAAAAGGAGATAGAGTGGTGTCCACCCCACCGCCCAGCCCGTCCTCCTTCCCCAAGGAAGCCTGTGGTTGTTTCCTGCCGGAGGCATCTGTACGTAGGTGGGGGAGCGTGTGTCGGTGGGGTGAGACCCGTTTAACTTAGGGTTCACGCTGTTCCATGTTTCCCCTTAACAGAGTGACTTGGAGTTAATTCTGTCGTAGCTCATCAGAATCTTTAGATGACTTTATTTTTCTGAAAACACGTCTTTAAAAGATGCCATGTGATGTACTTGAAGCCCGAGCCTGCCCTGCCAGCCCTCCGCCTTCCAGCTGGACCCGTGGCCCGAGGCTGGGGGTCTCAAGCTGTTTTGGCGGGCAGGGAGGGCTGGGGTCCCGCCAGCATCTGAGAGTGGCCTTGGGACATCCCCTTTCCTTCTGAGCCTCAGTTTGCCTGCCTTAAAAGGGATGGATTGTACCATGTGGCCTCCAGGGGCCTTTCCATATGAACGCTGCCCGTCGAGTGGGCGGTCGTGCCGGGGCTCTGGCCATTTATTTAGCAGGGTCATGGGCCTCGTGACAGGTGACATCTATCAATGTTTGCTGCCTGTGTATCACTCTGTGGAATGCTGTGGATCCTGGAAACATGATAGCTCTCCTGTCCTGACACAAAACACTCTTCAAGATACTCCGGGGGGAAAAGCAGGAATAGGGTGGATGAGGTGCTCTGTGTGCATGAGAAGTTGTCTGTGGAGAGGGTCTCCAGCTAGGTGGCAGGGAGGCTCACATCCACTCCTCACCCTCCCAGAGTTCTGGGTCTTGTCTCAAGCGAGAGCCAGACGCATTACCTGTCCAGAATGCTGGTTTGCAGAAGCTTCGGGAAGTAGTCTGAGTGGTACCGCTGGCTGATCCGGTGCTGTCGGACCCTCAGCCCTGGGCTGGTGCTGTGCGCGTCCCACCGTCTTCCGGAGAGCATCCTAAGCCTCGGGGGGCAGCGCTCACACCTCCCCGGGGCCTGGAGCGCTGGTCAGTCCTTGCCAGCCAGTGAGATAAGCGTGGTTCTCATTTTCATGGGGCACACCTGCCATGGCCCGAGGTGTCAGGAGAAGGCAGAGGGGACATCGCACTTCCAGCCTCCGTCCGAGGGAAGAAGTACAATCAGCTTAGAGTCGAGGCCAGGATGAAAGCCTGCTGGTTGCTGGAAGCATCCAGACGTCTTACGTGGCTCTTGAGCGCCCTCCGCCCTGGGTCGTGCGCGCTGGGCACGGTGAAGGAGGGACTGCTGCTTCAGTTACGGGGGCATATTCCCCGGCACACAGACACACACGCGCGCACGCACACGTACGCAGAGGAGTTGCTGGGGTCAGGAAGCTGGCTCTGTGTGCGCCTCCCGCTCACGTCCCCCTCGGGGTCCCTTCCCGCCCCGAGTGCCCAAGCGAGGGGACAGTCGTCGGCAGCAGTGGGTCTAGCTTTGGGGGCTCCTGTCGTTCCTCCCGGTGCCTCTCCGGATCTGATTCCCTTTCGAGCTCCTTCCCGGCATTGGCGTGCTTCCTACCTGAGACCCAGCCTGCACGGAGCCCAGGGGTGCGGCTCGTCTGGCCACAGCAGAGGGCCTCTGTGTGACCCGTCTGCCCAGGCAGTTCCTGTGGGGTAGAGCTTATGGGCGAAGCTTCCATTTTCTGTGAGCCCGAGTCTCGAATTTCATTGTGACCACGAGAGGTCATTTATTTTGTCTCTCATCCAGCAGGAAGACTCAGTCAAAAAATAAAGCACCCAGACATGGGCGGTTTGCTGCAATTCCTAAATCACCTTCCCCATTTCTCCCTGAAAAGAAGCGCTAACCATCTGTGGATTTTTCAGTCTTCACCTGGAGAAAGAGTAGTGATACCTGTGTTTTGGGGTCTTCCTCCTTTGGTGTTCACAGTAAAAAACCAGGCTGTTTGTCTGTCTTCTGAATTTTGGATCTCCTGTTCCTTTGTTTGCAGGTGGCACTGACATCATCTCCTGCTTCATGGGCCAGAATTTTTCTATTCCTGTGTATAAAGGGGAGATTCAGGCCCGGAACCTGGGCATGGCCGTGGAAGCGTGGAACGAGGAAGGTGATGGCTTCACTAACCATCTTTCTTTCTGTGTCTGGGCGTGGCTGGTAGCTCGGAAGCACTCAGATGTGTAACTGCCCCGAGAGAGACGGCCCAGCTCACTTCTAGCCACCCACCGGGCTCCTGTCCCCAGCCCCCTTGGGCCTGCCCGCCTCAGCAGTCAGTGTCGGGTGGGAGCACAGTGGAGAGCTGTGTTCAGGAACTGCAGGGGGGCCGTTGTTCTCCCGGCATCCAAACCCCAGAGACACTGCTCAGGCAGCCCGCTGCCCTGCTGGTCTGACACCTTGACCCGGACCCAGTGAGGGAGCCGGAGGTTGGCCCCTCTGACAGTCTCAGGGCGAGCTTTTGCTCTGTAGCCTCTTAGTGACTATTGGTAAATCAGCAAAGCCTGTTGGTATCTCCAGCACCTAACAGGGCCTGGCCTGGCGTGTGGTGTGTGCACTGTACAAATTTGCCCTGCAGCCACTGTTATTTTAACCGGGCAGAGTGAATGGGGAGTTTGTGTGAGGAAGAGGGAGAGACGTCAGCCCTGGTGGTTCCACCAGGTCAGGGGCTGGAAGCCTGGATAGCACAGGAAGGATCTCTCCTTCCAGTTCACCGAAAATGTTGCCAGAGACCTTTCTGAAAATCAGTTCTTACTTTCAGAAGAGGACTTTTCCCTGGTGCTCACAAAAGTTCTCGGCCCCATATATCTGTTTTCTTCCCCACCGCCTGAACCATTTCTCTTGGTCTCCGTCACTGCTACATTCTGTGGCCTGGTCGGGGGGAGATGCTCCTGGCAGAGAGAAACCAACGGCCGTCTCTTCAGCTTCCAGATGTCTGTCTGTCCTCTATCTCGGGGGTTCTGTGGGGTGGGATGAGCTGGGCCAGGTGAAGGAAATGTGGAAACTCTGGAGCCTCCCGGGACGCACGGTGGGATGGTGACTTCTCAGTGCGAGTCCTGCGGTGCTGTGCTGTGGAAGGTGCTGGATAAACGGGCCCACTCACTGGGAGGGATGCTGTGCTGCCCTCTCTCCTCGGCCTCCCTGGCCTGTGCCGTGCCCGGGGCTGGAGACCGGGCGCCCTTTGGAGCAAGTGGGACTCGGTGCAACTCCCTTAGCCTGCAAGTCGGGAGTAGTGAGTGAAGGTGAAGATAGGCAGGGACGCGGTGGTGCAGGAATTCCACCCCTGGGAGAAGTACTTGCCCATACGAGCAAGGGGAGGCGTGCACGTGTGTTCCTGACAGCACGTGTACAGTAGGGAACAGAGTTGGGAACAGTAGAGCTTCCCCTTCAGGAGGAGTAGATGGCCACAGTCGCACGTGAAGAATTATAAGCAGTGAAAACAGATGAGCCGGAGCGCAGTGCGTAGCTGCTGAGCGAATCACCCCGACCCCACGCTGGGAGAGCAAGGCAGGGTGCTGGACGCACGCAGCGCGATGCCGTCTGCGCAGTTTGGAAACACGCGGGATGACTGTGTTGTTCAGAGACGCGTGTCGATGGAGTGAGCGTATTAATAATACACGTGTGGGAAAAATAAATTCCCTTTGGAGGAGGGGTTTGGGAAGTCGGGCGGGAAGGCCACCGGGGGCCAGTCCCGAGTCGGGTGTGTGGGCGGCGGAGAGCGTGAGCCTGCGCCGCGGTGTGTGGTTGCTGTGTGTGCTCGCGCTAGCTTTTCGTTCTTCCCGGACCAGGAAAGGCAGTCTGGGGAGAGAGCGGCGAGCTGGTATGCACCAAGCCGGTCCCCTGCCAGCCCACGGGCTTCTGGAACGATGAGAACGGGAGCAAGTACAGGACGGCCTATTTCTCCAGATTCCCAGGTAGGCCGGTCGGTCGGTCGGGGATGCAGACAGGGCTGCCCGGACTCCGCCGGGGCCGGGCCTTCGGGGTCTGGTCCTGGACACCCCCCTCCCGCCCCGCTCACAGCTCCTTCCGCCAGCGGGGCGAGAATGGATGTCTCGGGTCAGTATCTTGCCACATTCAGCTTGACGCCATCGTGTGAAACTGGAGTCTGCATTAGTTTCTTCCTTTTTTGAAAGATTTTATTTATTTTTTCGAGAGAGAAAGAGAGCGCACGAGTGGGGGTGGGGAGGGGCAGAGGGAGAGGGAGAAGGAGAGAGAACCTCCAGCACACTCCCTGCTGAGTGTGCAGCCCAATGCCGGAGATCTCAGGACCCTGAGAACACGACCTGAGCAAAACCAAGAGTCAGACGCTCGACCGGCTGAGCCACCCGGGCCCCCGTGGGGCGGTTTATGCTTAACTAGCCTCTGTGCGCAGAGCCCCCGGGCCCCAGGTGCGGCGGTTTGCCCGCGGGAGGGCTGCGGGCCGCACACCCTCCCCGGATTGTGCCTGCCAGTTCAGAGAGAAACGGCGTGTTCAGGAGGAATCCGGCTTGGGACTCTTCCTCTCTGCCCCGCGCGCACCCTCACCCCGTCCTCGCGGGAGCATTGGAGGAGGAGTGCCTCGGCGGTGGGGTGATTTACAACCCGCCTGTCACTCTCACACGGACTGACATGCTCGCGTTTCATCTTCCGAGTGGCGCCTTGCCCCAGAGCAGGGAAGGGTTTTATTTAAAGCTCTGACTCCCGTCTCCCTCTTACCTTCGTTCGTCAGCAAGCTCGAGCTGGTGCAGCCCTACCAGTCACAGTGTAGCAAGCCCTCTGTCCCAGAGCGGTTTTTGCCAGGTGCTTGCTTGCTTCGGTCTCTAGAAAGGTAATTTGATTTTGTGTTGACCGCATGTGGAGGATCAGTGAAGGGCAGGTGGCCGTCGGGGGCAGAATTTGCCGTGGACCCCTCCCGTTTCTCCGCCTGGCTTTGCACGCTTGCACGTCCCACGTAAAAACCACCAAATCTGGCATCGCGCCCCCACGTGGGCGTCGGAGGGGGACCCCAGATGTGGCTTGGTCTCCACTGGGTACCTGCTCACTTAAGCCCCACCTGGGATCCTGCCAGCATGCAGCTGCCCAGACGGCGTGAGGCGGGATAGTGGGAGCTTAGAGAGAGAGAGGAGTGTTCCTCAGATGACCCTGAAGGACAGGGCTGGGGCCCCTGTCTTAGGAAGAGAGTAGAACCTCAGCTGGAGGATTCATCTAAGAAATCCATCTCTTGTCTTCTGCAGTACTGCTCACTGGTCTTTGGAAACTGTCTTTCCTATAACTTGTTATGTATACAGGTTAACATGATAAATGTCTCAGGATTGATTTCAGAGTCTTTCTTTTTTTTGAACTTCTGGTATTCTCTCTTGGAGAAAACAAATATTTTGTGACCTGTTATATTTCCAATTTTCCTTGGCTGCCAGGAAGCTCAGAGTTGAAATCATTGCTTGGTTGTAGCAGTCCTCTACCCCCAGGGCAGGGTTTCTAATTCTCTTTAAAGAATCTCATCCTGTAGTCGGTTTTATAAGTAGTTTCCTCAGATACTTTCTGGGAGTAGGGGGAGATATATGAGCCAGTACAGAAAGAGGAAAGCAGTTAAGATAATGGGACTCTGAAGCTGTTGGTCGTGGATGGGAGGAACACGGGTAGAACCTGACTGTCCATGCCCCAGCACTGGGACATTCTGACACTGTACTGGAATTGGTGATTAAAGGAAACAGCTGGAGGCCAAGGCTGTCGTTTCTGTAGCAGGAAGCAAACTCACAGACATCGACATCATTAGGCCAGGTGAAAATGTAAGCAGGCAGGGATATCCAAGAAATCAGTAAGCGAAAAGAAGAAGTTCAACACAGAGGGAACAGTATCTCTTTTGTGTCAACTTTTAAAAGGAAATGTGTGTGTGTAAGTCTGTGAATAAATGCACAACAAAGGGTTATCTGAGTGGGGGAATTATGAGCTGTCTTGCTTTTCTTTATATGTTATCACTTTTAAAAACCTAGTAAAAATTTAAAGAGAAATTAGAAGCAGACTGAAGAAAGATTTAGACCATTCTGATTCTACAAAGCAATGATTTCAGCTCTGAGTTTCCTGGCAGCCAAGGCAAAAAGGGAAATAAAATGGGTCCAGGTAAGTGCAAGACACAGTCCGCTCGGGAGGCCAGGCCAGCCCACCAACTGTCAAGACTTTGAGCTTGATGGCATGGAGACAACCAAAGTTCCCCTCAGCCCACACCAGCAGAAGAGTTCAAAGCGGGAGGAGGCCCCCAGTTGTAACTGCCGGAGTCCTAGGTCCTACCATAAGAGAAGCATGTGCAGTTTATTCACAATGGCGCATCTACAGACGTGGAAAGCCATGCCATCGTTCTCTCATGCACAAAAACACATGCTCACCGTAGACGATTTCCTCCAGGAGGAAAGCCAGAGCAAGGCTGGGTCTCCCCCGTCGCGCTGGCATGCTGTCGCTGAAAGGGGGTGGAGGGAGTCGGTGTGGTGAGCACGGCTGGAACCATTGGCTGGGGGCACGGAAGCCTGCAGGGAAGCTGCATTTCTCTGCGGCGACCACCTGGCAGCAGAGCCACCCGCCCCGTGTGAATTCTTCCTCCCGACTCTGGATCGTATGAGGTGGAGGTGCTTCATTCACAAATGACAGTTCCTTCAGGATGCATTTGCGTCTTCCGTTTTGTCTCCATTTCCAGGGCCTTGCATTCATGGTCAAACTCCTGGGAGAGCCGGCTCTGCACAACCCAGACTGTGTGGGGGGCGGGCGCCTGGGCCCTGGATGGGAAAGGACTGGGGGGCGGGCGGGCGGGGCGCGCCCTGCGGCCGTGTCTGCAGCCCTGTCTCCCCCCGATGGCATCTGTAAGCCCGGTGTTCGGAGTAGCCGTCAGATGCGCTTCTGCAGAAACTTGGCGTGTTGCTTGCAGTCCTAGGAATGATCTTTTCCCCGTTTGTGTACATGAGTCTTTCTCAAGTCCCAGCAGGAGGAAGGGGTTTCTGTCTTTGGCGTGGGGAGGAGGGGAGAAGGACCTGGAGGCGCACAGCCCTCTTTTGCACCAGAAGAAATGAGCTCAGGAGGCCCTTTGTTCCCAAATGGCCTCCCAGGGACCACACTGCCTGCAGATGGACAGATGGCCTGGCCTTCATCTGGGCAGGAGCCTCAGTCACTGCTCGTGCAGTCTTGCCACAACAGTGAATGGGCAAGGGGATAAAGGCAATATGTGGTCACGGGTGGCGTCTCCTGGGCAGGTGCAAGCGGACGGGGTTTGCACCTCCAGCCAGGAAGTGTCTCCAGGGTTGCAGGGGAGGAGGTGCTCTCAGATGCCCTTTCTGGGCCGCAGGGACTCAGGGCTCATTTCAGGAGGCCAGGCTGCCCCTGGGGAAATGACTTCCAGGTGGCCGAGAGCCGGGGGGATGTGCTCTCAGTCATTCACACCCCTTTGGCCTCCGTTCATGCGGCTGATCAAGGGTCGCTGCCTTTGGCGGCAGGAGGAAGCTTCTGGCTGGTTTAATTGTTCCCTTGGCAATTCCCTTGAGGCGTGACGTCTCTTTCCTGTTCCGTGGGGGTGGAGGATGTGGCCAAGGCTGGGGCTTTGATCCCTGGGGATATTAGCTTTGCTGTATGCCAAGACGAGGGCCTCCCCGGGAATGTCGCCAGCCCAGGCCCCGGCTGCACACCGGGCCACACGGGGATGGTGCAGGTGATTCGTTTCAGGGTCACCTCTGATCCCTGCCCCCCCCCCCCCCCCCCCGCCCATTCCCCTGCCTTCCTTGTCCCCTGGGTTTTACCAGCCAGTTAGCTCTGTGCACGTGGCTTGTGCCTTAGCTCGGGCCTCCGTCAGTAGCCTCCCACTGGTCGTGCTCCTCCTATTATCCCACTCCAAGAGGGGCCCAGCCCCACCAGACCAGCCCCCTCCGCTGTCCCAGACCACCCTGTCTTCCTAAAGCGTGCCTTGTGGCTACCCTTCACTCAGAGGGCCTGCTCCCAAATCTCCCGTTGACCTTCCCTGGCCGCCCCTCGCACCCTCCCTGCTGGGGCTGGTCCCAACCCCGTGAATTCGTGAGGCCCTTGTTGGCGCCTGAAGGAGTGGTGTTCTCTTGCGTGCTGGTGCGTGTCAGAACTGGGCGCACAGGGGCCCCTGCTAGACGCTATGCTCCGGGGGCAGGAATGGTCTGGTCCACTTCTACCCCTGGGCCCCAGCCCCATTCCATACCTGTTTCTGTGCCCCAGCCGTGTCTGTTGACGAGCATCCTGTTGCTGTCCGGCCTGCCATGAGCGTCTGTCCAGGCAGCTGGTCAGGACCCCTTCTCCTCGGGGTGACTGAGCACCTCTGCCTCCCTGCAGGTGTCTGGGCGCATGGCGACTACTGCAGAATCAACCCCAAGACTGGGGGCATCATCATGCTGGGCCGGAGGTGAGGGTCTTTAGAGGGCTTCTCTTCCCTGGAGCCCCCTTTCCCGAGGCATCCAGGCAGGGGCAGGAGGCATCCCGCATGAGCTCCCCGAAGGCCAGTCTGGGCCTGACCACGTTTCTGTGCCCAGAGTGGGGTGGCAGGCTGTGGCAAAGGTGTGTCCGTCCACGGTAGCAACGGCCCTTCCAGAACTGGGAGCGTGTGGGTGTTGGGTGCACAGCATGTCTGTACAGGTGGGAAGGGGCAGGGGGGTGACAGGTGTTTCCACACAGAGGGGACTGCCTTGTTGTCTGGCTTGGAGTTAGAGAGAGAAGGTGACCGGCGGGCATAAGGAGCAGGGGAGGGAGCCTTCGTGACTGGGCCCAGCGTTGCTGTGTGGGAAGGGGGTAACTGCCCCCGCCCCCTGGGTGACGTGCCTCACTCAGGAGCCGCTGTGTGTCCGTGACCTTGTCTCTTTCCAGCGACGGCACGCTCAACCCCAACGGAGTGCGATTCGGCAGTTCGGAAATCTATAACATTGGTACGTATTTTCCCTTTCTCCTCGAATTATTCTCAAGTCATCCAGGAAGGAAGGAGGGTGTGTCCTAGAGGGAGCCCCAGAGCCTGCTTTCCAAAGAGCCCGCCTTTTGGCATAACTCTGGCCCATTTGCCTCAGAGGCTGTGAGAGCATGTCCTTTCTGGAATGTACCTCATCCACATTGCTTGTAGCCGTAAAGCCTCAGAGGCCCATCCCTGTTCCATTACATTTTATCTTCACAGTGAGCAACCTTGGGTTGCTTAATTGTGTCTCGTCCTTTTGGGTGAAAAAGAAGCACAGAGAGGTTGTGTGATTGCTGGAGGTCACACAGCACCACTTGGGACGCCACATACAGACAGTGGGCCTCACAGCTGCACAGTAGAGTCATCTGTGGACCTTTAAAATGCCCCACCCAGGCCCCAAAGTCAGCCTCCCTAGGAGGTGGCTTCCTACAGATGTCATGTCAAGGTTGTTTTTGTAGCCAGGATGGAGAAGTCCTGATCCATCTGCCTCCAGCCTTTGTTCCTCCCACCAGTGGAGTCCCCACCACTGGTACTTGCTGCCTTTTTATTTTTAAATTAATTTATAATTAAGCAAGTAAGGCCTGTGTTTGGCTTCTTACAAACATGTCCACCATTGCAGCTCAAGCTAAAGCTCCGACCTTTGCCAGTGATGGGCATTCTTCTGCTTGTTTGCCCTGAGGGGCTCTTCCCAGGAGGGTGGAGGAGAGGCGGCGGTCCCCATCAGGCTCGGGTGGCCGGCCTCCCCCTCCCTCCTCACTGGCCATGGTGGGTGGGTGCGAGACTGTGGCCCCTTCCTGTCTCTGCAGTGGAGGCCTTCGAGGAGGTGATGGACAGCCTCTGTGTCCCCCAGTACAACAAGGACGGGGAGGAGAGGGTGCTCCTCTTCCTGAAGATGGCTTCCGGCCACACCTTCGGGCCTGAACTGGTGAAGAGCATCCGCAGCGCCATCCGTGTCGGCTTGTCTGCTCGGCATGTGCCCAGCCTCATCCTGGAGACCAAGGGCATCCCGGTAGGTCGGCCGCCGGGCTCGGGCTCCTGTCCCCGGGCAGTGGCAACCAGAGCATCCTCATCCCCCGCCGAGAGCCCCCACACGCAGAGACTCCTCTAGAAGCTTGTTCTGCTTTATATATAGTTTGTTTGCGTTCCTGGCAACCCCATCTTTTTTCCCCCCAACATCTCTTTTTTTTTGTTAACCCTTCCTGAATTCCGTGTAAAGTAACTTCTGCTAAATACCTGTGTTCGGAGGCTAGGCAGTCCCAGCCCTGCGCATCCAAAGGGCTTTTCCCCGGTGTGGTTTTAGTGTGTTCTTAAAATTATTAATGAGAAAAATAATTTTAACTTTTTAAAGAGCCGCTGGGGTGCTGTTGCTCTTGCCTTTTAAAAGTTTTGCCTGTGGAAAGAAGAGTTGAATCTATTTAGAGGCATGTCTCCAGAAAGCTGCTCCCCCTTCTACTTTGTTTAGGTTCTGAGTGGGGGAGGAGGGGCGCCCAGATTGGATCTCAGCTTTAACTTGGACTGCTCACAAGGCGAATGTCAGCTGGGAAGAGGCTGCCGTGTGCACGCGGTGTGCACAGACCAGCCAGGCTGTACGGAAGTCTGCAGAACAGCGATTCTCTGACGGGGACACGGCGCCGAGCCTGCTGACTGGGCCCCACGGGAGCACAGCTCTGATGGTGCCCCGAGCAGGGCCTGTCCACCCGCTTCTTTTAAATTTTGGTTATGCACAGGAAGTGTCTCAAGCTTGGGAGTTCTCTCTGTCTCGGTTGCTGACTCCTGGTGACTCTGGGGACCGTGGCTCTCGCAGGGAGGGAAGGCACTTCTTGAGTCCGTGATACTTACTGCCTTCTGATGAGGGCCTAAGGTTTCCTTCAGTGAACCAGTTCTGTCTGCTTCTGGAACATTCTGGAGCACGAGAGTTTGATTTTCCCCTTGGCTTTCTTTTGTTGAAACAGGACGTGTGTCCTTTGCTGCTGGAAGGGTTATTCCCCAACTGTGCGTGCTCATGAGATTAGTGGCACGGTTTATCCGAGAGATACGGGAAATGGTGGCCCGTCTTTCTGTCCTCAGCGTGGCGCTCGGGTTGCTGTCAGCCCCTGCTCTCCGCAGGTGCTGTCTCCGCTGTCTGGTTGGGTTGGGAAGTCACTCCAGGGTTCCCTGAGATTTTTCAAGGCCCTTGTGTTTTCAGATCCTCCTGATCTGAACTAATGGATTTGGGGTGGCCCCGTGTGTCGTGCGCTGGGGAGGGGGTGGCCCGGCCAAGGAGACTTGGGGCACTTGGGGAATTGCGAGGCCGACAGGCCCCAGGCAGCCACGACTGCCCTGACCCCCGCACATCTTTGTCCCTGCTCACGGTTGAGACGCCTGGCCCATCCCAGCGGGAGGCAGCATGAGGCGCATGCCCCAGGGAGGCCCAAGCAGCGGCCGGTGGGCGTGGGGGTCTCTGCCTCCCCACCACCCTCCCCACCAGAGGAAGCAGTAGCAGGATTTCTTCTGAAACACGGTCTTCTTTCTTCAGCTGATGGAAGATATAAATTATTAGCTCCCCTGAGCCGTTCTTGGAGCTTTTCTGTAAAGCTTACAAGCCCATACAGCGCGTGAGACTCTTGCATTTTGGGGCGAGAGGGGCCAACACCCAAGTGACAGGCAGTCCCTTGGAAGCTAGCGCTTAGATCCTTAATTAGTTCACACTTTGCCTGAGTTTTTCAAATGAATGAATTTTAATTACATCTCAGGTTAAAAAAAAAAAAAATAGTGCCCAAGGAGGAGAGATCAGGGCACCGCCGTTTTACTGAAGGGCTCTGTCCTCGAGTCCCCTGGCCCCCGGACATCCGGCACTGCCTCCAGAAGCATGGGGATCAAAGGCGGAACATGCAGGCCACAGATTTTAGGGGGAGCTTTGAACGTTTGGAAGGAGTCTGGCTGTGAGGAAAGTAATACCCCATCCCGACCCGACGAACGGTTCTGAGGGAAGATTAGGGGGAAGCTTGGTGAGGCTCGTGGACGAGGCTCGCTGGCCAGTTGATGGTGACGAGGTGGCGGGAAGCCAGCCTGCTGCTGACATGATGCTGATGGCCCGATTTTATGATACAGAGAAGGGTAATGAAGTCACTGTAACTGACGAAATAGAAACACAGCCTGACAGTGAGGCACTTGCCAGAGCTGTCAGGGTCTGAGCCCCTGGACTCCTGTCCTCCCGGCAGGGAGAGGCGCTGGGCCCCCCTTCATGCTCGAGGAGGCCAACTGGGCTTTGGGAATCAGCCCACAGTCCCCCAGATGCGGTGGCCCAAGTGCCACGTGCTCACCGGGTGGAAGGCCCCCTCCCCGGCGCACCTGCGTGGCGGGCTCCAGGCCGAGGTCATTCGGTCCGCGGTTTGGTCCTTCGGTCCGTGCTTTGTATGTTCGGTCCGCGGGTCTGTGGTTTGCATGTTTGGTCCATGGTTTGGTCATTTGGTCCACAGTTTGGTCGTTTGGTCTGTGGTTTGGTCATTCGGTCTGCAGTTTGCACTGTCGGTCCGCGGTTTGCATGTTCGGTCCACGGGTTTGCGGTTTGGACGTTCCGTCCATGGTTTGCATGTTCGGTCTGCGGTTTGCACATTCGGTCTGCGGTTTGGTCGTTCGGTACACGGTTTGCACGTTCCGTCTGCGGTTTGGTCCGTTGGTCCGTGGTTTGGTCGTTCGGTAGACGGTTTGCACGTTCCGTCTGCGGTTTGGTCGTTCGGTCCGCAGTTTGCAGTTCAGTCCACGGTTTGGTCGTTCGGTAGACGGTTTGCATGTTCCGTCTGCGGTTTGCACGTTCGGTCTGCGGTTTGGTCCTTCAGTCCGCGGTTTGGTCCTTCAGTCTGCGGTTTGCATGTCCGTCTGCGGTTTGCACGTTCGGTCCTCGGTTTGGTCCTTGGGTCCGCGGTTTGGTCCTTCGGTCTGCGGTTTGCACGTGCGTGGACCCGGGAGCTGAGGGCTCTCTTCCCCTTGAGGTTCAGCCGCTGTGTTTCTTTTGTCCGCCCCCTCCCCGGCAGTACACCCTCAACGGCAAGAAAGTGGAGGTGGCTGTGAAGCAGATCATCGCTGGAAAAGGCGTGGAGCACCGGGGGGCCTTCTCGAACCCCGAGACCCTGGATTTGTACCGGGACATCCCAGAGCTGCAGGACTTCTGAGTCGCACCGGCTCGGCCAGCACCCTGCCAGTCGCATCTGTGCTGTGACTTCCGTGGGCTCAGGATGTTACTTTGGGAAGGCAAGTGTCCACAGGCTTGGAGAAACGTCGTGTCTGTCCCGCACTTGCGTCTGGTGGCTTCCCCACGTCGTCCCGGGCCACGTCCTGACCTTCAGAGGCCGAGAGGGAGCGTTTGGTTGTGTGTGTGGCGAGGCGTGGAGAGTGTGCGTCTTTGCACAAGTGTTCTTGCACGCGCTGCGAGGAGCCGGGGTCACCCGGGCGTGGACGGTTGTGGCCGATGGCCACGGTCACGGCCACGCTTTCCGCACGGGCTGGCGCTCTGGCGGCGGCGGTGCCCCTCTGAGGAGTGAGCTTGCCTTCAGCCTTGGGCCTGTAGTCCCCTTTGCTCTCTTCAGGTGTAAATCTGTGTCTCCCTTTTCCGTGGGTCTCCTGGCTCTGGCTGTCGTCCCTCAGGGCCTGGCCGTCCGCTGTGGCACGTGGACTGGTCCCCGGCGGCCGACCACTCCTGCGGGTCTGGTGCAGCCACGTGTCGTGCCCACCAGACCACGCTGCCTGGCGAGCAGAAGCTCCCGCTTGACAACTCGTGGGTTTCGTGCTTTAACAGGGTCTCCTTATTTCATGGACTTCAAATGGTTTAAAAATGTTGTCACATTCGCTATCCGGTGCGTGTGGGTGCTTGAAAACTGGATGTCCGCCCTGCGGGGTGGAGTTGCTCTCGGGGAAGCGGCCGGCCGCCCGGGCAGCGGTCACGGGTCCTCCTGCGTCGGGGCTGCCTGGCCTCAGGGGACACGGCCTCGCTGCTCCTCCCCCCGCCGGGGGCTCTTGGAACCTCGTGTGGAAGCTGTGTTCTCAGCAGCTGTAAATCGAGTCACGGGTTAGATCACCGGGCAGTTCGTATGTACTCTCAGTTCAGCACGTTAACGAATTCCTGTAATCCTCATGTTCGTTTTGTATTTTTAAAAACTGAGCACAATGAAGACCTTTTTCGAATCCCTTTTCTTCTGGATTATAAAAATACAGGGGGAAAGCACTATGAGGAATTTATGCAATAAACGTCTATATATATACATTTATGTGCACACACCTGCGTGTGTGACGTGCTGGCGTTTTCTCTGGAGGGGTGACTGGATCCGTGTCCGAAGCTGCTTGTGCTGAGGGGCCAGCCGGGGGCTGCGCCCTGGGGGGATGTTTGGCCATGCGGGTGGGACATTCCTGGGCCCCGGGTGACCGAGTGGCCAGTGGGGACTTTTCACCATGAAGCCAGCTTCCCGGAGGACAGGCTCGTCCTTACCCTGGGCTCCCCATGGTTCCAAGCAGCCAGGTACCCGGACCACAACCCCTGTCATCGCAAGAACCGTGTGTCGCTGGGATGGCGTCACAGAATCCAGGCTCGGCCTGGTGGGGGCTACTTTCTCTCCTGTCTCGGAAAGGCGGAGGCAGGCGCATACCCGGGGCCTGGGTCGTGACTGTGGGATGAGCAGTGCCCATCTGCGCTCCGCCATTCCCCGTCTGCGGCCGCCCTGCCTCTCACCTTCCATTGTGTTCCCGGCAGGAAAGAGCAGGAAGTGCCAAGAGGGCTGGGTCAGGGGCAGAAGGCCCCCTCTCTCCGGTCTATCCCTTTTCATCAGCGGAACAGTGGCTTTTCTGGAAACCCCACCCCGTGGGCCTCTGCTAGTACCTATGTGACCCGACATGGGCCACAGGGCCACCTCTAGCAGCAAGGGTGTTTGGACGTTTGAGCGTTTTTATTTTATTTTGTTTTATTTTTTTAAAGATTTTATTCATGAGAGACAGGGAGAGAGAGAGAGAGGCAGAGGCAGAGGGAGAAGCAGGCTCCCCACGGAGCAGGGAGCCCGACGCGGGGCTCGATCCCAGGGCCCCGGGATCATGACCTGAGCTGAAAGCAGACGCTTAACCATCTGAGCCACCCAGGCGCCCTGTCTGAGCGTTTTTAAACAGGACCTGTCACCTTTTTCTCATTTGTTTCTCGTTGCCGCTGTAACAAATTACCACAAACTTAGTGGCTTAAAACACAAATTTGTTGCCGTTCTGGAGGTCAGAAGCCTGATGCAGATCTCCCTGAGCTAAAGTCAGGGTGCGGGCCGGCTGCGTTCCTCCTGGAGGCTCCAGGGGAGAGTCTCTTCCTTGCCTTTTCCAGCTTCCGGAGGTGCCCTCATCCGTGACTGCTGGCTCATCCCTCCATCCTCAGAGCCTGCAGTGCCTCCTGCCCCCCACTTCCACACATAAGACCTCTATGATCACGATGGCCCCACTCCAGGAATCCAGGATCATTCTGCTATTTTAACACCTATTGATTCGCAGGCTCACTTTCATGTGCTGCCTTAAATCTCTTGGCCACAGAACCTAACGTCTTCCTGGGGCGTGTTTGGGGGCCTCCCTCTGCCTCCCTCACTTTGCAAACACGGTCGGGTCCTGCTGCTGAGAAAGACGGGAGAGTGGTCCTCAGGAGCTGTGAGCCCTGTGCTGGAAGAGCTGGGCGGTCAGGACCCCTGGCTGTCGACTGACCCTGGGCTGAGCTCGTCTCCCCCCGTGGGACCGGCCTGCCGGCCTCCCTCCTGGGACTCGGGCCTGACTCCGCGGGAGGCTTGGAGCCCCTGTCACACCGACTTGCCAGAGGCGTTGTTCAGGCTTCACTGCCATGCCCTTTCAGTTCCAGGCAGACCCCCAGGCTGGCCAAGCCCACACATCTGTATTAATAAGCTGCGTGGGACAACTTCATTAACGAGAGCCAGATGATCTGAACAACAGCCCTCGAACGCCCGTGGTGCGGGCTCTCCCGTGATGTGCCTTGGCTCGAGTATTGCCCTGAAAGCACCTGCTGGTCAGCTGCCATCCCTTTGCGATGCCTGCTTTTACCCCCCAGTCTCCTTCCCATCCCCCTGTTTCCCCACCACGCCTGAGTCCCCAGCCTCGCCAGGAGCACGGGGACCTGCAGTGCCGCCCTGCAGGGGGCTGCCGGGCCTCTGAGCAGCTGTCCTCTGGGTCCGTCTTCCCACCTCCAGGAACTTTCTCGGGGGTGCGGGGGACCGCGCCCACCCCCAGCTCCTCGCATGTGCAGGCAATCCTAGGGACCCTGGAGCACTGTGTCTGGGTCACTTGGTCCTTGACACTCAACTCTGCGCCCTCCCTTTGTGCCATGCTTCTCTGCACTGGCTTCAGAACGACCCCTCTTGCTGTGGGCACCTGCTGGCCCCCTCCCTGCATTCCGAGCCCCGGAGGACCCCAGACCTGCTCCCTCATCTGGATCCCCAGCCCCTAGCAAGCCCCTAGCAAATGGCCTGAGCCCCCTGAGGCTCGGGAAGGGTGTCTCCTTGACCTTTTAACCCACTGTCACTGTGGATGTTTGTGGACAGGAGAGACCCTCCCGTTGGGCTTCAGGTGCCCAGGGCAAGGGCTTGTGGGGAATGAGCTCCCTTTGAGGGCCCAGCCACGTCCCCAACTCTGGACTCCGGCCTTCAAAGGGAAAGCCGCACACAGATTTACGGGGTAGGTGCTTGTCATTGGGGTACAGACTCAGCTACTATCATGAGTCCCCCCAGCCTGGCTCAAACGGAAGCCTCAAACGGGGGCGTGCGTGCGTGTGTGCGTAGGAAGGCGATGCTTCCTTGTGTTTGTGTGGCTGCATTTTGAAGGTAAATTGTAAAGTTTATGAGGCAAACTTGTTGGCTTTTATAACATTTTGGCCGTGTGTGTATATGCGTTGTGTGTGAACATGGGCACGTGTGTGCGCGTTGACATTACACACTTGTCCAAACCCAGAAGAACAGGGCAGTGGACACGTCAGGTGTCTGTGTTTTTGGTCAGGGTGAGGGACGCGAGCCCGGCGCCCACGCCCACGCAGCACATGCGGGCCGGCCGGGAGACCTCCCCGTCTCACATTGCCTTGCCCGACTGTAGCTGCTCACGCCTTGGCCCTCAGCCTGGGCCCCGAGCAGCTTCCAGTTTGGGGACACCTTTCTGTGTCCAAGTCAGGCGGCTTTTCCTGGGTATCTGCAGGGCTGGGGACCGGGCACTAACTTACTCTTTCAGCAACGTACCCTGTTTGTCACTGGGGCCAGTGGTCACCGAAGCGTGGTGAACCCCTTGTGCCGTGGAGTGAGCACATCGGGCAAGAAGACAGGCGATCAGCAAGGAAAGGAGAGAAGGTCCGACCAGACACCATGGTTGAGGCCTCTCCAAGGAGACGGCGCTGAGGCCTGGCCTCCGAGGGAAGATGCACCGCGAGAAGGTGGGAGGTGAGCCCGTGGGCAGAGGAGAGCGAGCCAGAGCCGTGGTCCCAAGAAGGGAATGGACTGACCCAGAGGAACAAAGGAGAGAAGAGTACATTGGATTTTGAGAAAGGGTACAGAGCCGAGTGGGGGAGGGGCCGCGGTGCAGAATGTGGAGTGAGGACTGTGTTCCGAGGGCCACCAGGAAGCCACGAGGATTTTGAGTCCAGCAGTGACGTCTGTGGATGCACATTTAGAGGGTGGTGGGGCAGAGGATAGGGCTGGATTGGGAGCTGGGTGGTAAGACGTTCCAGCTTTCTCCTGTCTCCTCGTCCTCTCTCCTCTCACCGTGGCCCCAGCACCCCTTGTGCCCAGAACTCGAGAACCGCTGTGGTTCATCAAGCACATCGGTGTTGAACACACAGCCGGGGCCGGCAGGAACCTGTCGGATTTGGCCAGAAGCCTGAACTGGCTTTGACGAGCTGCGGTTCTTTCTCTCCGGGCCACGCTGCCTTTGCCGTCAGTTCTAAAAGCCTGCTGCCATTTCGTCCCCGTGTCTTCAAGACTGTCATAAGCAAATAAGTACAGGCCTATTAAGATTATGTTTAAGCTTCATTACAAGCCAAGTGCTGGCTCGGCTGTTGCGGTTGATCATGTCGGAGCGCACCCTTGACCATCCCAGCAGTAAGTGGATGGTCTCGTAATTTCATTAGATGCCTTCCAGGGGAGAAGCAGTTGTTCATTAACTCATGTTGGGCGGGATTGGTCTGCAAACCTCTTCATGTTGCTTGGGATGCCCTCCCTCTTCTTCCTGCTCCTGCCTTCTTTCCCTGCCTCAAATGGCTAAGTCATAAGTCAGGGTGGGTTTTAGGGGAGTGAAAAGGTGTGGTTGTCGAGGAGCCGCACATGGCTTGGCCCTAGTTTTAATGTTCCGGGCTCTGAGTTTATCATTCTTGCATTCCTGCTTACCATTCACTTGCTTATGGCGAGGTCCAGTTCTTTGTGGGGCCCACTTCCTTTTTTCAATCACGACTCAGGATTTTGTTGGCTACAAGGAACAGAAACCCCATCCCAAACTGGCTCAAGCAAATAGAAGGATATTATCGGTACATAGGTTTGAAGACTCCAGTGCCAGGATTAGCTTCAGGTGTGGCTGGATCCAGGGGCTCTAATGGCATCAGGGTTCCCTGTCTCCATGTATCAGCTTCACCTTCCTCTGTGTTGACTGCATTCTCAGATGGCTTCTCCTCTCACTCTGCCAACCTGGGTACCTCCCGCTCCAGGATTGTGTCCTCTCAGTGCTGAGAGGGGAGAAGGATTTTCCTCCTGGGGGTTCCATCCCGAGTTCTGGTGTTGAAGGTCTTTGGACCGTTTGGGTCACGTGACCCCTGCCGGAAACCCAGCCATACTCAGTTACAGGGACTGGGATGGGGGTCCTGGAGCAGCATGGGGCTTTCCTTTCAGGAGTAGGGGGCAGCCAGACCCTCTGTTTCTTCTCATCTTTTCACAGGTGCTGGCCCTTTTCCCCTTACCCCCCTTGCTCCTCCTTTCTCTAGGAGAGAGCCTGTCTAACCTCCTCTGTCTCTCTCTGCTCCCCCTTCCCTCCCCAGAATGACAGGTTGCCTGGAAAACAAGCCGGGGCCTGGTGCCTATGAGAATGGATTTCCAGATTAAGAAAATTGGGTGGGGGGAGGGGGAGAGAAAGTGCTCTGTTCTTCTATAACACAAACTCTGGAAAGTAAAGCTGTGAAATCTTATGTCCGGCTTTCAAAAATCTGCGAGACTCTGGATTAATGTTTAGCTGTCCCCCATCCCCTCATCTGAGCCCCCCCACAGGGCCAGGACTGGCTGGTT